TCGTGATTTCTCGGAGCCGTATTTAATATCTCTGCTCAAAAATTTGATACTTTCTGCGGACGACCAAGTATTAAGATGACAATAATTAATTAGTAAAATCATATAAAACATTTGCCGGATGTTTACTATTCATTTCACGACGACCAGGAGGGAAATACAGCTCCAATTTACTGGTGCTACGAGTACATTGTTTTGTATGTTTGCAATCTGTATCGCGAACAGGTGTTACCGTAATTAAAACCATAATTTCTCGGACAAGATTATTTATTAAATTAAATACATGTATTGCTTTTCACGATTACAGTTAACAACGGTACGGAGTTTAAAGATTTTTTGATATATGTAAGCTGCTGTTCATATGGCAGATTTGCTGTAATCTTACGTAATGATGAACATAAATAATAAAGAGATATATATCAAGGCTTATTATCAATCTAAAATTGGAGCATTTGAGCACAGGCAGTAAATTAAGCCTATTTTTTCCGACAAAGACGATCCATCTTAAAATAAAACGAGTGTCTTAATAGAATACATTTATTAAAGCTTTGGGTAATTGAAGGCTTAATATTTTCAAATATTTGTTTAAGGCGATATGCATATGAGGAATAAGATGGTTTTAGTTATATTATCCGGTATTTATAAAGTATTTATCTACTTTCTGTGGCCCTTAAATGATCGATAACCACGTTGAGGCAACAATCTAGCTTGAAATAGCAAGATTTAGGTTTTTGAAAACATTAGATATTTATTATGGTATATTATACTTAGTATGTATCATTATTTCTGAGAATATTATGTTAGTACCTAGCTAAAGGTTGTACAAATATATATTTTTTTATTGGAAGAATCTAAATTTAAAATTTAATTGGCTCTGATAAATTTGCCCAATTGAATCACTTCCTATGTACAAAAAAGGCTAAAATTGAACGGAAAGAAGCAATTACAACAAAAACTGAAGTTACTTTCTCTTTAGGAACCAGCGTTCTTACATTAAAACGTTTTTAAATTATCGAATAATGTTTCTTTTCCTTCTAACCTTGACCTATCCGACTTTTATAAGGCAAAAAAGAAACCCATTGTTTTCACCAGTTATCGAGGTTACTATTGCATCTAAATTTATAGCAGTTTTGCCTCGGAAAACCAGTTTATAGTGTTATAACCTGCATTGAAGTGGATCATGTACATTTCATGCCATCGGTAAGACCTCATGTCATCTATTCGCACTCGGTAAAGCAGATTTCGAAAAGAAAACAATTCACCACATGGGGACAGTCGGCTAAGCGAGGTTCTTGCGAACCTGCCAGTCTCGTGAGTTCGTTGCCCTACTCTTATATGGCCAACACAGACATAATAGGCATTAAAATAATTCATGTAATTAACTTTTGTGGCTTCATTACGCGACGGATGGAATTCATGAGAGGGATGGGTTTCTTATTCCACTTTGACTGTGTTAAAATTCGCTGGATGCGAGTTCTGGTTCTTGTAATAATATTTGGACGAGATCATTATGCAGAGAAAATACGTACTTTCCCGGGAATAGAAACAAGAAACCAATCTTTGAATACGCCTCAGCAGTGCGAGACATTTGATTTTTATACCTGGAAAGCCTGGAGTTATCAGTGGGTTTCATAGATTTGGATATGATTTGGATATTTTCAAATCAATGAGCTTGTATAAGCAGTATCTCAATGAACTGAAATATTACTAGCACACTGAAAAATGCCTGCGGATGTTAAAAATATCAGATTATATTTGTAAATATTCAGTACAGTTTTTTTTACAGTAAATTGTTTCAAAGTTATACCTTCATTTTTGCACTACACTAAGTTCTTTCTGTTGTAGATTTTTATGGCACTCCAAAAATATCTAACTTTGACATTTCATGCGTTTGCTGTTCTTTTGTTTAAAAATAAATAGGGTACACAAAAATCAAGGCGTGCTGTGCCCTTGAGTTAAACTTTGAGAGCAGAATACATTCCTCTGCTACATTGTGTAACTATGGCCTGCCTTTTACTGTTTTAAATTGTATCACAGGGTGTATTTGCGAGCTGTAGTTCTAAAGATATCATTGCTCATGTAATTTTATATTAAACGTCCTATTCGTAATTTAGAAACCCAGAGATGAAATGTTGCAAGGTGCCTTATTTTTGTCCACCAGTTTATATTGTAGATGTCAATCCTGTACAATTTTATTGAACCGGTAAAAGTAATAAAATACACAGCTTAGATTTTAATTAGAGATAAACCTGATATATCTGAACGTATTCCACAAGTTACTAGTATAAATTTCTGCTTCATATTTATAATTAACCGTTTAGATTGTCATTTTAGATAATCGTTTCATTAAAAATCAATTTCCTAATACCACTTTATAAAAGGGTATATTTTGGACACTAAGCATTTACATTTCTTTCAAAATATTTTTTCTTATCGCTTTGCATTCAAATATACTTCAGTATATTTCTAAAAAACCTTTCTTTCCATTGAGTGGTATCAAAAGATGCTGATGAGAAAGTTCCGATGATGAATTTCGCGTTATGAACGAGGTGTACTTTCGTTTTCACCCACAAAATACCGTTAAGGGCGTGAACGGTTCGACTGATATTTTTTATGCTCATTAACCATCTTCCTCCCGTCACGTTATTGACCAAAAAAGTCGAACATTGTCACACCACACTGGCTACGTTCAAAATGTCAACGTTAATGCCTCATGAGAGTGAGTACACATTTATACAGAGAATATTTTGGTATTTATTAATTCCTTACATTGTCTCTATATTGCCGTATCATTTGACATTTTACTGAATATAATTACCTAAAATTAAGGAAGGGGAAGAAGAATTTCAACAATTAGTATTAATCACCATTTGCTGTATTTATGTATGCTAAGGTGTACCCGTTATAATCCTATCCACTCTCTCTTGGCCAATATTTCGAGGAAGAATTAGAATTTCGCTTAATCTTGCGTCAAGCAACATAAATATGGATTAGCAAACTTTTTTTTAGATGTAATAGTTGCATGGGCGATAGTTTCGAGCCCGTAAAACCTTTTAAGCTTTAAAAACCTTTATGGAGCGTATTGGATACATTGTTTTCGGACTGTAATTAATTGTGAGGATGATTTTTTGTGCGGTGAGCTCTGCGTGCGACATAATTGACAATAAACGGAAAAAAATCGTTTCATTCATGTCGACAATGAAATTATTTCGAACCTCACCAGTGACATTTGTAATTAATTCAACGCAGTTAATAACAGACATGTTTTTTCCTACTAACGATAGCGCTACTGGTTTTTATGAACGCGCTAGATTGATAAGTGGAAGATGCGTCGACTAATTGAATCTACTGGATGTTTTCGAGATAGGTATTACTTTTTGGGGATCGTATTTATTTCCACATTTTTTTTTCATTGCAATATTTTCTCTATAGCGGTTTTTATAATTTGTATTTACGTTTTCCTAGTATCAACTCTGCAACTTCCATTATACAATTTAATTACAGCTACAAGGGAAACCTTTTTGCTTCAATACAGCCAGATTTATAAAGACAAATTCTAGCTGTGGTAGGAGCTAGTTTATCTCTGGTCGCTTAACTCGGTGGATTTGTTCAACTTTTGCGAAGGTACACCTTAAAGTCCGTATTGTTATAAATGCAGTTCCGAACGTCGGTATTCTAAAACGATTTTAATTTAGATTACACGCGTTTATCTTCAATCGGCTCACTCGTGACAGCCTAGAAAGTTGGAGAGAGATATATTTAATCCGCGAAATGTCAGTGTCATGAGCAGACAAATAATTTACTTTCGTCGTCTTTCGACGAAGTTGGGAAAGGTTCTGTCAGATTTAATATTTCCTGTTTCGAAACTGTTTGTTAAGGTATTTACATCGGATTTGCTCGTCGTTTTCTTTTTTCGATGAGAATACATACTTTTATATCACGCAGAAAATATCAGATACGGTATTGTTTTAGATAAAGAACATATTTGCAGGAACAAAAAATATTAAATATAATGTATAATTAATACTATTTTTTTATAATTGTTATTTATGTATGAAAGCACTAAAACATATTTATTCGAAATGGTCTGCCAGAGTATGTTCTACGAGCATTCAGTGAATAATTTGAGTAGTAAAGATGTAGTAATCACTTAATTACAAACTAACAAGCCTTCGCACTGAATTGACCTTGTTCCACATTTCGCGAACTGCTTGTCAATCCATGGACTCACTGTTAATTGTTTCATTTGCAAGCCACCAACATCAAACTGCTAATTGTCAGAACCAATCGAGATTTGTTTTAGAACCGAACAGAATCAGGTATATTTCCCAATTATAAAAAAATGTCGTACAGAAAACTGAACTACTACTTCATTAAACTCAAACGACACATCCTACGCAGACATCCATTAACCTTAACGAAACGTAAAGCGATTTTCCATGTGAATAGATTACCCAGTTGCGTAATTGGTGGTAACACATCCAAACGAATTGGAGAGCAAACAGACTAAACAACCTGTCTTGCGAATGCGACCATAAATAATAGTGGATTGCGAATAGCGTATCGACCGAGCGTGATAAATGGGCCCAATTTCGGACGGTTTGTTGTGTTTTTCGGAATCCTTCGCCAGAAAAAGGACGTTAAGGTAATAACGGCAGCTCGAAACATTCGTGAAAAATGCCTGAGTAACCTGAGTTTTCAACGATTATTGTCTTTTTATTTGATAAATAAAGGTCTTCAACCTTCCATTGACTGTTATCCTTTTGAAAGAGGTTCCTAAATCTTTAATACCTTATAGTTGCAGATATATTTTAAATTAAATCTCTCGAATTCATAGACAGTCCGTATAAGTAAAGAACTTGAATCATAACGTGGATAATATTGAATTTAACCACTCTTTCATAAAATATTCATTTCGCTTAACTAAAACATCCCGTACCACAAATTACCAAGTATAAAATTTAATAATATCGTGCTGAAATGAAAAATTCTTCCCTTTGCAGGGTCTCATCAACATGCAGACGGACTACGCGATTTATACCAGCTCAGCATCCATTCCCATAGACAAGCGCATATCAACGTTGTCGCTGACTTCGAAGCAACACGACAGCGCTGAGTATGCTATAAACAGATTTTCACAGAAGTACGACTCCTATCAGGAGTTTCTCTACAGGAATAACCAGCAGAGGAGGTGGGTTAACTTTAGAAATACGTGTTACAATTTTTTCTCCAGTAAATTTTTTTTAAAACTCATGAGTATAAAAAAGGAATTTGTCTCACAGTTGCAGTTTTGTAGGTTGATTTTTAGTGACTAAACTGAAATTTCAATGTCTAGTGACTATTTTACATTAGTTTGTTTGTTTGAAGTCGACCGAAAAGTGGTGAATTATTTATTGTCTTGTTCTGTGTCTAGGAGGTTGTCTTCCACCGGAGAAGGAAGCGGTGACTCCAGCACGACAGCCTCAGGAAGCAGTTACGGGGAACGTGAGGATGGCAGCGAAGGCCGCGCTGAAAGCGACGAGACTGAGAGAGAGGAGAGGAAGCCTTTGGAAGGACAGATCACGGATTCGGAACGTCAGCAAGTCGAGACGTTCTTCAAGGGACTAAAAACCCAGGTAAGGGACATTTTTTATACCCCCTGATTGGCTCAAATTTTGAAAAAAAATTGACATTTATTTCTTTAACCATTGGAGATGTTTAAGCTGCAATTTCGTTTAATAACTAACTTTGTTACTCATTAAAATGATGTCGATTGCGTTGCGTGTGACACATGTGTCACCGGCAAGTCCAGAAAAGTTATTATTTCTAAATACTGAGATAATAAGTACATCGCAAATAGGATATCCGTTGGAATGATAAAACGTTGTCATGTAACACGTGAAACTTTTGTTCCCTTCTCCAGTGGCACGTTGAGTATATTGTTTCCTGAGAAACGGTGAGGGAGCACGATCTTTGTTATGCGTTTATTCTGTACCTGTACACAATGTTTTTAGACATCAAAATTGAAAGCCATTGTCGGAAATGGAATACGAACAGAATTTTCATTTATTACTGTAAAATCACATCGCATATACAGAGTGAATCTTAAATGCGTACATACTACATATATTTCAAACTGAGGTACAGTTTACCATGTAACTAATAGTTTTTTTTGCAAAAAAATAGGAATAAAAAGAGCGAATTTGAAAAAAATATGCTTGATTTTTCAATACAAAACTTGTGGGGAACCGCTGACTTTATTCTTAAACTCCAACCTCTTAAATGAAGTAGGGAGAACAGAGTTAAATGAATAAGAATTCATTTGAGAGAAACGTCAGAAATTTGTTTGACATCAAAATTAGTAGTTACTAAAAACTGTATTGTTTTAAAAAACATTGCTGTTTACTTTCATTTTAAAAGGTATGTATTTTTAATAAACTCAACCTACCTATTTACTGGAAATTTTTTTACCTAAATTGCAAATGAGTTTTGATCTAGATCTAAGTATATTTTAAATGACCATATCAAGGAAGGTGAAACTTAAAATGCAAATATAGTTGTATCGACAAATTAAAGTTCATAATTTTAAGGTAAAGGTTAATTTGCATAAACATATAACTTTTACCTTGTACACCACCTCTTACGACCATGTGCTACTTTTATTATAAACATTACTATAAAATCTTCAAAATCTAGTAGTTTCTTTCACATATCTACACTATGACTCATTAAAAAAACAGGACACACATGTAAACATGTTTGGTAAGGCACTATTTGAATGAATTTTGTACGAAGAGAAGATGCATTTGCTGAAACCATGGCAATATAGTTAGTAATACGTCGACTACTGTGATTTTTTTACTAAAAATCTGGTTACGTAGGAATCTGGGTTACTTAAAACTACTAGTCTTAAATTTTAACAATTTACAATTTTCAGTTTAAAAATCTAGACGGCACTGTAAATGTCTGAAGATGATGAGAAATTATCTAAATACTGACACTGTCGATTGTAGCTGACAAATAATAAAATCTATTCATTTTAAGCAATCTCAATGTACACAATAATTAAAAATTTCGCCCTTTTTAGAGATCAAACTACTAAGAACCATGTTCTGCAACTTGTAGGACAATTTTCGCCTACTTAAAGTCACCTAAACACAGCTCATAGACTGTTTTAGAGTAATTTCAGTATAATTTAATCTCTTTCAAATAATTAAGTTGAAATAATAAGAGTACTATATAGTGCCTTGATTAAAAACCTTGCGGAAATTAGGATAACACAATTCAGTAAAGGTCAATCATTAGTTAATTGATCTGCCACTAAGGTGTGGTTAGATAAATATTAAATGCCATATTAGGATCGATCTGGCCTTCATTTCAGTGTGGATCCTTGAACTTGTCAGGCCTTATGAAAGAATGATTTTAAAATTATAAGTGATTGGTCAAGGAATTTATAGACAAATATTTGTTTTCTTAAGAAAGCATATAATAGGACAGGAAAAATTTTTTCCTTGTTCGTAATCTGTTTTTTAACTAGCAGAAATGATTTCACAGGGTTTGAAATAATTTAGAGAATTTTGTTCAGAAAAGTAAGATTCGGAACATCGCTCAATGTGAAACACTATTATTCACTAACACAATTTATTTTTGTTCAAACTAGAAAACATCGCATAGCAATTTTCAGTATAATTTAAATACAGCAGTAATTTTTTGCGTACATTGTAAATAATTTCATACAATGTTAAATAAAAATATCGAGACTTGAATCGTTTGAAAAAGTGACATGTAGTGGTCATCAAAATTTAAAATTTTGCAGTAAACAAGAAAGTTGACGCTGACGTCGCTGTTTGAAAATAATTATTCCATACTAGTGGGAAATGTTATGTTTGTGCACAATCAAACTAAAAATCTATCTAAATCTAATGAAACATTTTTTTCAGAAAAGTAAGATTCGGTAAAACATGTTTTTAATTTTTTTTGTGTGGAACTGGATCGCATGTCACTTGGAATAAATTAGGGTTTCATCATTCATCCATCCATAACAATATATACATCATACTTTAAGCGTGTGCCACTGGCACTCCTTTATTTGCCAATCCATTAGGCGTATGTGTTCGGTATCAACGATAAAATATGAGTCACGGTTTGCAGTATCAATAAAATAAAATCATATCGCCCTATATCCTCCCGAATAGAACAGCAGATATTGTTATGGCCGTTGTAAATAATTTCGAGATATAAAAAAATACGTTTTTGTTTCCTTTTGCAACTTTGTATCCCAATGTACTGTTTACAGTATAAATATAGATAGAACAAAGAAATCATTACTGTTGCTGTTCCATGAAGCTTCTGAAAATGCACTTTTATCAAAAAAGTTGGAAAAATATTCTTAATCAAGTCGCTGTATTTTTTTTTTGGGCGACATCCTCAAAGATTTGATTATAAATTTTGAATACTGTTTAAATTTCCCGTGTATACAATTATGTGTTTCATTTTATTTAAAGCTAGCACTGCAGGTGCTGATACAACCTAATTACTATTTATCAATTTATTATCGTTTCTATGACGTTTGCGAAAGTTATGGTGACTGTCAGCAATATTCTAGTTATAGACATTATTTAATCAAATAGATTACGTATTATGCTTAGAGTTAAAGGCTTTTTTCCAAGGATACACGACAATAGAACAGATAAGGTCAATTACTGAGCATAACAAGGCGCATCCTTTATAATAGTTCTGTGACACCATACCTAATTTGGGATTGTCACTAAATAATTTCTTTTATATAAGAAACCTACATAGCTATCCTTTTTTCGTTTTATTACACAATGCATACAAATACGTCCCCACAATGAGCTTTTCTTGCTAATCTCATCTCAAAACGTTAGCTATTATCATATAACGCTGTCCTAGTAGGCGTTGGGGAAACAATGGCATGAAATCCAACTGTTTTATCGCTTTGCGACTTGATCTTCCCCTGACCTCTTGCTAAGCTAAACATAACTCAGGACATACTGGCGTTTTAGGCGTAAGACAAATATCAAATCCTAACTTGCAATTTCAAGTTGGGACACGTCTGCAGAAAAACTGGTAATGGTTATTTTTTTTTAAGGAATAACTGAACAATGTATAAATAAGCCTTCCTGGAAACCGCCAGTATTTGAGATCTAAATCACTTCGCATCTGAATCATTATTTCCAATTTACGTTACAAGCGAGGCTCTGTGGGAAACGGTGTGTACTTTTCCAGAAATTAATTTGCATATATACGATTATGCATGCATGCCGGCGTGTAATGGGAACGAATGCCTCGCAAATTTGTGGAAAGAATTGTGGAGTCGGGAAGTGTGCCTCGTTAAAGGAAACATGGCAAGTAAATTGTGGACGAGTTGCGGAACTCTCGTGTGTAATTCTCGAAATGAATTATGATTCCATAAGAGGCATGGTTTTTTTAAACTTAACCTGCCGGGATTCTAGCGGTTGACTGTTATGGTAATTCTCCGATAGGTATTTAAAAAAATGCATATGTTTGCAGTACTTGTATTTTAATTGATAGTTTACTGGCTTGATATAAATTTAACAGTAGTAGTACGCAGGAAGATATACATTATACTGAAAAAGACTGATTGATAAGATTGTTTCTGTTCACTGTTTCAATCTTTTCTTGTATTTTTCAATGACCTTGAAACATTTTTGTGCTTTTGTGTTTCGTCTTTGTTTTCTATTAATGTTTGGGGTTTGGTACTTTATTTCTGTGATTTCCAGATATACGTCAGTGGATCTCTGGCAAATCTGTACACCAGGACTCCCGCTGATGTGGAGTGGCAGTTGAAATATACGGGAATTCCGGTTGTTATCCTAGACGTGGGCGAATCTCGAGCCAGAGACAAAAGGCGGATACAGATCGCTTTGGCAGAGAGAGGTGAGCCATATAAAACGATATTTATTAAGTTCTCTATAGTGGCTATTGTTGTGTCAGTAGAAAATGGCCTCTTCAAGGACAAAGCTCACTAGAAGGACCAAAGCTCCTTAAAAAATAATAATAGTGTTGAAAAAAGTCAAAGCTTAACATAAAATTTTTCATTAATTATTCAGTTAAAAAATTACATGTTTTATACTTTAATTGTGGAATTGTTGTTACTGTAAACATTCGATACGTTTCGATGTAAAATGTCAAGGGTAGCGGATGTGATGAAAATTTTGCAGCCCCTCTAAAATATCAGGTATTATGTAAATGTAAACACTACGTACGTTTGATAATTAAATGGGAGAGCGCTTTTAAATTAAGGATTACGTTTAATTAAATTCTGTTCAGGGACGCCTAAAATGAAAATATTTAGTAAATGAACTTTTTTCAAAGAGGAACGAAAGCTTTGAAAATAAATAATCACGTAAAATTCTGTGAAATTAATTAGGTACGTATAAACTCTTTGTTTGGATGGAAATTTTCACAGAACACCATGAAAATGACTTTTTAATTATAATTTACATAAATATTTCAGTACAGAATTGAGGAAGAAGTGTTTATAAAACAATTAATACACTTCTAACTGGCTTTTCTACATAGAAAAAATATGTTTGTCCCTTAAAAGCATTTTTACTATACATAATAGAATATGGATGAGCTAGATAGAACGTTTTACGTACTTCACGGTGAAATTTCCATATCATGTCTCCCGCCGAACTTTGCGCGATAAATCGAGAACTTTTTATCATGTAATTTGTATTTTAATAACTTCTGAGAATTTATCTATCCCCAGGGACCTGCTTCATGCTCTGGAGAGACACGATCGACAATTTATCCTCATATAAAGTAGATGGACCCGCCTTCCACACAATGCGCTATTCATCCGATCACACAATGCAAGTGGGCTTCAGTTTCGATACCACCCAGCACGCAAACGAAATGTGGACACATATCGAACGTCTGGTATCCTGCCCGGAGAATATTTCGCTGTCGACTCCAGGTAAGATATTAAAGTCGTTTATTATTCACGTATCAAAGACAGTCGCGTAACAATCAAGGGAAGCATTCAGAGATAAGATCATTCTCTTATTTCTGTCCTGTTGTACATCATTTTAACTAACTTAGAATAACTATTCAGTGTTCAAATTAATACAAAAATGTCAAATAAACTATGCCTCACCAAGATATTCAGTAGTGAATGTTATAAAAATTCGAATTTTGAATACTTACAATGTTTTAAACTTTGTTACCATCAGTGTTTTTAAAATGTTAAAAGCTTCATGCAAAGTAGTGAAAATTCCAGGAAGAGCAATTAATTGCTTGTATCTAAACCTACTTTCGTAATTCATACATTAGCATAACATGAGGTTACATAGTCGAATGCTCGACGGAATGCAAATTGTTCTTTGAGGTTCTCAAGACAAATCACCGCGTTTTAATATTCCATACCCGCACCAGTAAACAAATCATAGAGGTGACTCAGTAAGAAATATTCATTTACTTAGAAGAAATAACACGGTTTTAACCTTAGATCCGAATTAAATGCCGACTCGAATAAAGACGACGTGGAAATTTGTTGATTAATTAATTTATGATTAATAGTTCATCTACACGTGTCGACTTTATTGCATATGTATGATTACACTGATTGAAAATATCACGGAAAAAAAATTCGTAGTCGTAGCTCGGATAAGCGTTTGGTTTGAATTCTGATATTCTGATATATTTTTAAACAGTATTACACTTGAAAGTTTGAAACATCTAATTGAACTTATTTGCGCAATAATTACATTGAATTTTCTTAATTAACAGATTAGGCACCTTTTTCATTATAATATTTTCAAAAGATTCGAGTTTTTTACATATTAATTTGACATGGAATGCACCAAAGAATCGGTTGAATGTAAATTCGCTTCCGTACATTTTTCGCTGAAACAACAAGTAATTATCCTGGACAAAGAATGCACAACAAGCATTTGTTTTATAAATATAAAGTGTTATCTTTGTTGCAACAATTTTGTGTCGTTTAATAACGATTTGCCTCTGCAGTTTTGTTACAAAGTGACTGTTCAGCTCTACTGATAATAGAAATGATTATCCATGGCATATAGAAAGACTAGTAAATTCTGTCTGGATTAAAATTTTTATATAACGGACATCATCGTTGTGGTGCTGTAATATTTTTAATTTATTGTTAAAATTAATCAGGGTTTCTTTCGTGTGTCAAAATAAAAAATACTTTAGGGAGAAATTGAAGCAATATCCCCTTACTAAAATTTAAAATTGATTTTTTTTCCATTACATTCACAACTTCATCAATTGTACTCATTTTATGGTTTGTACAGAATAACCTCGAAATATCTGGAAAACGCGTCTTTCAGGAGCTCACACTTTAACCTTTTTTCTTATTATTTAGTCATGAAAATATTAATGAATGATTTCTACCTTTTCAGGTAAGAAGAAAAAGAAGAAAGAAAAGAAACTGCCGAAGCCGCCACCCCTGCCCCCAAAGAGCCACATATCGCAGCCCTGCTGCTTCCAGCACATAACCTCCGTGGACAGGGACGACACCACACGGTTCTACTCGCTGAAAGAGCTGCTGCCTCCCACACCGGTAAATCCACGGTTGCATCAACTCCATGAAGTCTAACTGAGCCTGACTGAGTTGTATGTTGCGTCGCCAGGCGACCGAATGTGACTGAAAGACATTTTCTAATTATATTTAATGTGTACATGTGTAATCTTAATTATTATATGTGTCGTTTAAGTATATTAACTGTGGGCACCCCGTTCACGACTTAATTAGTGCTCTTGCATTAAGTACTTCATTACTATGAGGAGTAAACGTAGGTTATTGTAGGAAAAGAGCACAAGAAAATTTCCATAATATCAAAAGTACGAAGCAAACAACTCGGATAAGAGATAATTCATTTGAAAGATATGAGAAAGCCGCAAATCGTTGATTGAAGGACGTTATCATTTATTCAAACGTTTCCGGATATTTTTCTTCGAATAATTTGATAAAAGTAATATATTTTGAGGTGCAATAACACTTACACCATAGGCGTCATGCATTCACAATGATTTTACCTTCAAACATTTCAATAAACTGAAAGTGACGTTTTTATTTATAAGCGATAATACTTGGAACCTTTGCATCGAACTTGAAACTTAAATAGATATAAAACATATCTTTTCGACTTATTTTACTGTCAAATATTTCTTTTAATTATGCTGATAAAATGTCTGGAAACTACGAAAAAAAATATGGTGAGTATACAAAAAAACTAGCTTTCATCTTTGACCAATGAAGTTAAACATACTGATTCCAATATGCAGACGTATAAAAATCATAAACTAGTCCTTAGCTTCAAAAGTTTTAAGACCTAACCTTAAAAATTCCTATCTTTTTACTTTCTAAGACTGAGGGCAGGAGGAAATATTTATTAAAATACCTGTAGAATACTTAAGAATAACAGTTTTCAATTAATTTTTATGAAAAATTTACTGAAATTGAAAATCAGTAGATGTTGAACACGGAGTAGCAAAACAGTAGACCAAATGTGTCAGTAGATCTGAAAAAAATCAGTAGATCTACTCCTAATCCTCCCTTCTGAAGTTTTTATGAACAAAATAAAAATATTGCTGTTGGAACTAACACTGAGCAGTTATTGACCTCCGTTGTTCATCTGGGGTGCCCCCACTTTTATAAAACTTATCGTTGTGGACCAAAATCTACATATATTCTTACTTATCAAAAGAAATGTCTTTAAATGTAACCTAAATATGTTAGGATCCCAATTCCAACACCTAACCAATTTCTTACATTTATCAGTATTGTTCCAGATAAATCATGAAGCATACTGAATATAATACAAATTGTATGTATTCTCATTCTCACAAACATAAAAATTACAGTTTGTAATGTATCATATAAGACTGTTCTTCTCAGAAAATCTTGCATCTGTTACAACCGCTAAAGACGAGATGCCATAATTTTGAAAAAATATTAGAATTAGAAGTCACAAATATCTTTGTTAGTTGTTAGCACAGTCTGTGTTACTATAACTGTGTGTCTGTGTGTCACAAGTACTATTTTAAATAAGAATTTTAGCAGTATTTAAAGTTCAAAATTACTATTTTACGTATGTTGTTGGTTTACTATTTAAAGTCTTGTAGAAATTAGTGGAAATAAAAAATCCAGGTATTTATTTATTCACTGAAGAGTAGGGGTAGAAAACTTTGTATGTATTTACAATTATCATTACGAAAATATGCTATGATTTAATCTCTATTATCAAAAATAGGTTTTTAAAATTAATCTGTGATATATCAATTAATTAAAATGGATTTTAAAAATATATAAAACGGTAGATTTATGGATATAATATCTTAAATTCACATGTTATAAGTGTGCTATTACTCAAATCATATTGAATAATAACAGTAGGATACACCTAGGATGGATATAAGTAGTCTGTGTAGAAGATTAAACTATTTTTGTTTTATTATTGTTATGAAACACTTGTCGCACTAGAGGCTTCAAGATGTCTATTTCTAATAAATAAATAATTAGAAACTTGGTCTATTTTATTACAAAGAGTCTTCCACTTCTTTCTATTATTTTACTCGATTTTTCGATCAATAGTATCGGCACATAGTCTGCCTTCCACCGTCCCAGATTTCAGTCTCGCATTTCGCCAAGCTTCTGCTATTAGCCACCAGATGTGAAAGCCTGTCCAAAGTTATTCTCGTAACAATTTTATAGTTAAAACTTTACGATCAGGAAAACTGACAGTTGAAGTTAAAGTAAATGAAAATAAAATATTCGCGAATGCAGCTAAGAGCTCGCCCTCTGGCGGTAGCAAGTGATACTAGCGAAACAAGGTAAACATTTCCCCACAAAACATATAATACACATTTCCCTGTGTGTGACATTTCGTTTTGTATTTTATTTAAAACTGTGTTTAGTGTTCGTTTTTTGAACACTGTCATTTTAAGAAAACAGTGTGAGGAAAATTTCAGCAATTATGGATAGAAAGAAGAAACTATCAAACTATTATTGTTCAGTTCAAGGTTGCCCTTCATGGTCCAAGAAAAATCCAAAATTAAGTTTTCATCAAACCATTGAAGAAATTTTCAAAATATTATTGCCGATAGATAATACTCCCTAAATTTCATGAGGGTTGTTAGTAAGTAAGGGCACTAATTTGCAGACACAATATAAATTTCTAAATTTGCATTAATTTTGCCCAATTTTCCCATATATTACCACATGATCAGCGCTAAAAACTGCCTCTCCTTCTGATATACAATGAGAGTTTTTGTTGGCATATATGTAAAAATGTAAATAGGAAATGTATTCCACTACGGATAAGTTCATAGTTGTAACCTAATAAAATGTACATTAAATTGTAATGCTAGAGACAAATAAAGTAGACATAAATACTTGCCTTAAAATTTATTTATGAAATATTTGAGACCTATAAAATAACACAAAAGTCAAATAACTGCGGCTTGATAACATAATTACTAATAATAATGGCAAATAAGACGAATGTTGTTCAAATAAATGTGTAAACACGAACGGCAATGTCAAAATTACCTTGTCTCGGAGCTTACTGCTTTCGCCGTTTGGTGCGCTTGCATCTTAAAAATTATCGCGGATATCATCGCAAAACTTGATATTCTGTGATTTGCACCACGTTCTCGAGATGGCGCTTGTCGCATAGCATGTTGCTTAAATCCATTATCGTCGACCGAATACAAAATTATCACAAAAGGAACATTATAAATAACTTTTCAATTGTGCAATACGTTTAAAAGATACTCGATCTATGCATTGAGTGTGATAAGATCTTTAATTATCTAATACACTTATTATTAGATGTGATAAAATATTATTTTTATTGATGCTAGATATAATGTTTCCAATCACTTTTTTATATTTGAACAGAAACGTGTATTTTGTTCTAGAACAAAAGTCACTCTCGCTCCAGTGAAATAAAGTGTATTTCTGATATTTAGGAAACAGAATAAAAACGTCAGTATTTTTTTAACAGTTTTAGATGAAAGTAAATGGTCGGAATCTTACTGTAAGTTTAGGAATACAATAGACCCCGTGGAATGAATCAAACTACGTTTTTCTCATGCTCAACAAAACTTACACAGCTCGTTTCATCAAAGACCTCCAAAAAATAGATCACACACCAACTGTAAGTGCATGTAGGTTGCACACAGGGTGGGCGACTGCATTCTGCGATGTCAGTGTTATATAACAATTAACTTCTTTTGAGGTCCACTTCTGGTTTGGATAATTGACCGTCGTGACAGGCGTGTCCTGGGAAACGCGGCGATAAAAAAATTTGACAATACCCATACAGCAAGTTAATATTTTTAAAACATGTTGTTAGTTAAATATTATAACATTTTCAAAATATTTTAAAACACTGTTTAAACGTTTTAGAAACGTGAAACCATCAACAACTGGTGCAGTTTGATTAAAAACGTAAAGTTGCTTCAACCAATTAATTTAACTGATATTATAACAAGAATCTAGATAAACTCCATTAAATTTATGAACATAAAATATAATACTGCGATGAATATAAATGGACTATGATTTGATTAAAATATTTAAGAAATTATTATCCCCTTTCTAATACCTCGAATTTCGAGCAAAGCTTACCAACTCAACTTCAAGTCTGAGTTCCTGCGGCATCCTGTGAACTGATAAAGAAATTACCGACTGTTCGCGGTGGGTACAGGAGCCTTCGGTGAGGTGCGACACCTGTGGTCCGAAACCTGATTCTCGAACAGCTATAATAATTATTTAACCACTTCTTGTCGGCTATTGTTTATTGCGCCAATTATTCCGTGGCCGATACAAAGTAAACTCAAATATCGGTGCCTGAGTTATTGCCGTTTTTCGACTCCGCCGAAATGCTTTTCTCTTGCTCCAAGCCCCGCACTTGATCATTTAATCGGCTTTGCTCTTCCCAAAACTCGAATTGCAGACAAATAATTTAAAATTTAAGTACAAGAAAATGTCTTGCTCACATTTTAGAGCAGCCTTGCTTGTTAGACTCCAAACAAACTCTCTCTTTCACGCACTGATCTGAATCCAACGGACGAAAAAAGTAAGTGGAGCTCATGATGTAGATTAGACATAAAAGAGCATGAAATGCGACAATGGAAAAAAACGGATAATTGAAGCAATGCCAATAAATTACGGTCAACACAGAATTAATCCTGCGAATGGGCAGAAATATGCAGTAAAATCATTAGAAGGAAATAGATTGGATGCATTATAGCCGACACGTCCATATTGTAAGAGCGCTTACCGGGAATTAATGTAAAAACGCATATCACCAAACTTGTAACTTCCTGTGGAGGAGCTGTGAAAGCATCAGTTATATTTTTTGCATCGCTTAGAACTAGATTATAAATTAGATAGAAGCGTGCTCAGCATAAGATCCACTATGACATACTGACACTCATTTAGCGAATAATTTTGTTTTATTTAATATAAAACGTATAAAGTGTAGTTTTACGTCGATAAATGTCAATGAAATTGTAAACCAACATGCTGCCCCAAACTGAATCACGAAATAGAACCGATATTACTGAAACTTTGAAAGCTCTAATAGATAGTTTTTTCCATTCTACAATAAAACGGACGCTGTCAGCGTTTTTGAGCAATGCATTGATTTGGATGTGTCTAGTTCCATGTTGGCCTTTTTTTTGACAATTTTTCTTAGTAGATTTTCGTGGACATGGACATGAAAATGTTCTAGATTAATTCAACCTTGCCAAATTCTAACAAACCTGCCAATTTTTTCTTTCTGGGTCGCTGAATCCGAATCTAGCAGTTTTTCGAGGCAGACTTAACTTCATACAAAGAAATGTTATGTTTATCTCCACCATCGTATTTAATAATCGAAGTTCACTCTGAGACCCCGTGATTGACATTTAATTTTTTTCGTCCCATCAGGAACTGGAATCCTGCGTTAATTGATGGTCAGTTAAAAGTAAAACAAAGTAGACCTACCTACTCTTGTTTTTTAATTTATTAATAAAGTTTTATACATTATTTATGAATTTCGCTCCAATTAAATTATTTTCTCTAATGGTCAACTTTCTTTAAAAACATTATTTATACACCTGAAGGCCAAATCAGTGCAACTTGTTGGGAAAAAAGCCTTTGTCATATTCACCCTACATTTATAAATAAATCCTTTTCCTAAACCTCACACAGATAATTTATTTTCAGAATACAATTTGATCTATAATTAAATTTAATCTGCACAATTATAGATTACGTTTTTCAATCAATTAAAATTGCATACCTAGTTATGAATCGTACGTGTCTGACATTTATAGTTGGTCTCGGTACACCATGTCGTATCACATTTTTGTCACTACTAGTTTTTGTAAAAATTCTTAGTACCAGTCTGCTCTTGCACCAGCGTTGGGATTTCGAAAGAGTTATTAATTCTTGTAAATTCCTTGTAATTCTCAGAAATGGCGAGAAGAATATGAAATCATCGGTTTATTAGATATTGTGGGCCTCTATACAAGACTTAGTGAAACTGCTAATATTGTGGTTTTGTAAGAGTTTACTATAAAACATTAAAACAAAGGAAAGTAAATACTGATAAAGAAATAAAGTAGGTACTACTTTTGTTTCCTCCCGAGAGAAAAAAAAATTGCAAACAGGGTTATTCTACCTCCCTACGATTTTTCTAGAAAAAATGGTAACGACTAAAGTCGTAAAACAATAATTGATTAATTAATAGGACACCCTGTATATTTAACGCTTTTGGAATTTACAAGATTGCCATGGAACAGGGCAGAATATTATGTGACTTATCTTTTATTTTCTCAAAATAAATCACTATTTTTGATTTTATATTATATAATTTTTTTTATTATTTTTCTTTGAGATTGCAAAAAAGTTTCCTAAAACTGATATCCACAATTTTTTTCTAGATAGAAGGGTTACAAAGATGGAGGAGATATGATGTTTTATTTCTCAAAATAAACCACTTTTTGTGGTATGATTTTATTATTTATTTTATAAAAATAACTAGCAGTCGATTTTGTTCAGTTTTATTATAAATTACAAATACAAGTTAAATTAAAAAAAAAATAAATAGAAATATAGTAAATAAAACTCATCACAAAAATTAAATGAATCACAAGCTAGCCTCTTACACTTACTTCACTACATCCTTACAAAAAATTAAGGTTATTAGTACAATATGACTTAAACTTGACAGCTTTCCTGTCTAGTTTCTTGCTACACACCTCTAAGAATAAATAGCGTCGTCAAATAGTACTTAGTACAAGTATTTTGAAAGATGACTTATTCTCAAACTCGAAAGGCAGCAAAACTGCAGATACAAAACAAGTAGAATCGAATAAATATAAAATTATAGCACATAGTCATCAACAAACGAAAATTGTCACACTTTAAGTTTTCTAGCCTCTTCAACAATGCCTTTATGGTATTTCTCCGTTGTCGCTTCAGTTTCGTCAGCAATTTCATACCCCAACTGTAATTCAGCTTCTTGGAAGTCTTGGCTGCTTCTCCTCTTTACTTCTTCAACGCCAGAAAGGTCGATAGAGCCGAAACCCGTTTGTACAACGTGCTTTAATGTTTGGATGTTTCCCGATCTAGCTTTTCTAGGTTGCTCGTCCACATTTCCTTCCTTCTTGAACCCGTGTAGGTGCTTCACTTGGTATTCGGTTTCTTCATATTTGTCGTCTGCTATCTCGTTGCTTTCTTGGATTAGGATACCGTGGATTTGCTTGCTGGGTCCGTAAGTTTTCACCTTGGAATGACCTTGAATAATCATGTACAGAGGTCCTCTAAGAGGTTCTGATGGTTGCTTGTAATGTTTAAATAAGGGATCAGTGGTTAATGATGTCATAGTGGTGGTAGGAGGTTCTGCTGTGGTGGTGGTGGTTTTCTCTGCGGAAGTAGATGGAAGAGTAACAAAGCTATTGATCATAGAAGTGGAGGAACCTAGATAGTTGGTAATTTCTGGGGTGCTGGTCAAGTCTTTAAAGGCGATAGGTCTCGATTTTTCCTTTTCCAGGATACTAATTACAGGATTGGTACTCTTCATGAAGATAGGGCTCTGAGTGACAGGTGGAGGGTGCATGGTCTGCATCTCTTGGAGGGTCTGCATAGTCAAAGGTGGCATTTTGGGTTTGGCTGGTGCTGAATGTGGAAACATCACCACACTAGATGGTACAGGATGTTGGACAATACTTTTGATTGGAACATTAGACATGCCGAAACCTGTTGAATGCACCTCAGCTTCAGGTTTACCAATTTTAACGTACGTGTTTGAAATATCAATGTTATCGTCACTTACTTGGCCTTTAAACATGACTTCTTTATATTGCGTGTTAAGGGTAGATGGTGGCGTAACATAATTTATATTCTGATTGCTATCTGCGGCTATCAAAGGCTTATTGGTGAGGTTATGGGGAGAAAACTCTATTTCTATGTAGGACTCAGGCGGAGCTAAATGTGTGTTGTACACCAACTCTTCCCTGTAATTTGGTATGGTGCCCTTGGTAGTAGTTGATGATAGCCAATTCACTGTTGAAGGATCTGAAGGTTGTCTGTTATTGTTTCCATTAAATTCACTTGCGTCGCTTAGACTACTAGACTGGTATACTAAGTTAGCTGTTTGAACCGTTACAGAAGATGTGGTGCCACCACTAGTGGAGCTACTGGGGGTTGTTGTGGTAAATACAAACTGCGTTGTTGGTTTCTGCGTAATTGGAGGACCTGGAGTTTCTGGTAAGGGTCTTAGAGAAATGCCAGTGTCCTCTGGAGGTGGTGGCATCAACATGGTGTAAGGAACTCTCTGTTCTGTACCTTTAGAAAATGTAGTTCTGTCTGAATACTTGTTTTTAGATGGAGAAAAGAAGGATGGGAAGAACGACGTTGGTATTGATGGTATAAACGAAGGTCTGGCTATCCTCTGATTGGAATTGGGATGGAAGTTTGAACCTGGTACGTATTTTAAGTAGGGATCATACGTGTCCCTTCTGGAGTCCGCTTGAGAAGATCCCGAGGCTGGTTTCTTCGAAGTGACGCCTAATAGGAGAATTTCCGTTTTCTGGTTCTCTCCAGGTACAGGGGGATCAGGTTTCCTCAGAGCCGGGTCCACCCAGTACTGAACCCTGTCTAGTACTGGAGGGACATAGTCGTAGGTTGGGTCATTCTTCAGGGGATCACCTCTTCCTAGGGGTTTCCACTGGTCGTAGTCGATTTGAGGAGTGATTAGACTGCGAAGGTTTGGATCATCTTAAAAAAAGACGTTAGTATTAGTATATGCACATTATGTGTGTTTGATACTTGAAAAGCTTATTAAGAGAATTATGCTGACTTACCGTTACTACTATTGATGGGTTCAGTCAAGTTGCTCAAATTGTTGATCTCCTTCGAAGATGCCAATTGTAGAATTAGAATAAGGAACCAAAATTGTGTCAACTCTTTGTTTTTGTGGCGCATGATCTGGAAGCAACAAAATATTAATATTCGGCCTGTTAGTCACATATTTGCTGAAGTTTTTGATAGTAATGGAGCACTTTTTTTTAAATTATTTATTTATTTGTAATACAATAACGAAAAGTATACTTAAAATATTACTCTCGTTTATATAAATTACGAAAAGTAAAGGTCTCGAGACCAAACCTTGTGGAACTTTTTTTATGTCTCAAAATGAATTTTTTAACTATCTCACAAAATGAAAATAAGTTAAAAAACAAAACTAGTACTTTTTTCGTCATTTTTACCTGATTTGAGTTTAAAAAATAATTAAAATATGTGCTATGACGTAATTTAAAAACTTTTCGTTCATTGATGCACACAAGTAAAACAAAAATAGCTTTTTAAATAAAAGAACGCCTTCTCCAAATATATTAAAAATGTATAATATATATTTTTGACAACAATGTATTAATATATTTCTCGACTAAACCCAACGTGCCCCGGTAAGAAATGAACCTATCTTATAAAAAGTTTTCTGAAATAATTTGCATAAAACTATTATGGCTAAAGATCAAATCTATCCGTTGTATTAGTAGCGCATTTGAATAATGGCCTATATTTTTCCACGTCCGCAGAACATGAATATAAATGAGAATAAGTTTTTAAATCGTATTCAAAATCTACAACACTCGGTGAGTACGTTTCTATGTTCCCATCTCGTACAAAGCCGAACTTAATTTATAACCTGACAGCTGGTACGAAGCGCTGTATAATTTGCAAAAATAATATGTGATAAAGGCAGCCAATACAAGAGGATTATAATGAGTACTCAGTAGAGCGGTGTTCCCTGGCAATGATCAATTTAATAAGATGGGGCCTCATCTTGGGGTGTCACGATTTCGTGACCATTTCGTTTGTTTTCGAAATGTTTTGCATCTTTTACCAACGCGGCACATCACCTGGTTGCCAGCAACCTTACGAGACGGACAAGTCTTGCTTGGTTTTATGCGAGTACACTACACTACAAAAAATTAAGGAATAATCCTATGTAAAATTTCCATTGACTCGTTTAATTTTCTGAAAATTAAACTTTCACTTATAATATCAGTAGTACTTAAACTATATATGGAAATTTTTTCGAGATCACTTATATTTTGAAAATTATATCGAGTCGAAGACGAAAATTTCTCATCAAAATTATGAATAAAATTCAATCAAACCTGACATTTTGAAGTCGGTTTTTCCTCATTGCTTAGTAGCTTGTGAATAAAGGAAATTGACGTGTATAAAAAAAAAATAGAAACATTTTTATTATTATTACTTTTTTCGTGGACATCTTCATTAATATAACTATTAAATTGGTAGAACTTCACCATCAGCAAATAAAAAATACCATCTAATATATACTTTCTCAATTAATTTAGCCTACTGACCTTTAGTCCTTATATTTAAAACCGATTTATTTCCGACACCAGTCGTATACATTAAATCCCCATAATTGTTCGCGAAACAAAAGTGTGTTAAGTTATCTAAATATTAAGTGATAAGATAGCTCATGACATTTTGGATTATCAACCGTGTTCAAGCCATGGCAATCGCCAGACTGCGTGCCGTCGTCTTAAAAGTTTTGAACTTGTGCAGCGCTAATAACTCTCTTGTTTATGGGTCTATGCCTCTGGATGGTAGCGACATTTACAGACGGAGACATCGCAAAGAACAACTGTTGATTTAAAGTATATATTAGCTAATATTAGTAATATTTCATTATCATCAATCTAGATTGGTGGAGATTCTTAAATAATGAAGAAATAAGGAGTCTTCCACAAAAATGTACTTTATAGAAACTATACATCTACAATTTTTTTAAAAAACAACAATCCAGACATTGGAAAACGGTCTCTTATAGGTCAGTTTGAGAATATAACGTATCTTTTAAATTTTCATATATTTATTCAAGAGAAATTGTTGGTGACCCCTCCCAGCTTCGTCGCTACCTTCCTGGGGATATCACCACATGTATGCCGTTACTTTAGGCGAATCTATAAAACTTTGATCTGCTGTGCCATTCATTTTTCCATGCTAATGGTTAGGTACATGGTTGAATAGACACAAAGACATAATTACCGCATCTGTTTCTATAAAAACTGTTGAGATTCGCTTTTCTTTTTTTAATTAATCAATTAATTATTAATTAGTGAATTAATTTGTTGCTATAAACAAACCTATAAATAATAAAAATTCAAATTCATTATAAGATATCCTGAACAAAGAAAGTTATATCAAGACAAAGAAATCGTTACTTTTTTTTACAAGAAATATGCAATGATATTTGTTAATTAATATTTTATCTACATATAGTCCAGATTTTAACAAGGTTGTTTGCGAGAAAAAAGTCGTACTTTCCCGCATTTTGTGCCAAAAAAATTGTGCCATGAAGACTGTACAAAACAAAAATTTGTGAGGAATCATTATACCATACATCCATTTTTTTTTTTAATTTCATAACTATTAATTTTTATGAAGTAAAACCATTTTAAATAAACTAAGTTTATGGTGATCCAGTGCTAAAACCTGTCCTCAGACCAGTCAACAAAAAAAAACGTTAATGTACAGTCCGATGTTCCTTGTTTTTTTACAGAACTTTTTTTGTTGCTACATGACGAGTATTTATAAATATTTATAAGCCATTATACTGATCTTGTCACATTAAAAAATTAGCAAGATAATGTAAGAGCAGAGGCAACGTCAATATTTCACATTTTTTTAAGTGCTGCTTAATTCTGTTAATTTTTTGTCACACATTACATAACAAAGTGATATCAGACTTAATGCCTTCGAATGGAACATCCAAATTACAAAATTTTAATACGCAAATAAATAATAGATTATAATGGTACATTATAGTACGTTACAAATTAGTGAAATAAGCCATATTTGTTGTTGATTGTTGAAACATAAATTTATAAAATTGTTTGGCTGTAGTGTTTAATATTTTCTTTTCTCCAGCATCTATTTTTTATAAATTTTATGGTAATGTATTTTCAAATAACTCCTATCGACTAATTGCAAGTACTATCGGTCTCTGTTTGCACAAATATCGATATTCTCACGCCAATTTAATACCATAATAACTAGCATTAGTGTCATTCGGTATTTATTTAGTGTATCCGTTTAAATATTCATAAATACAAGGCTGAGGCTCAGAAAAAGTGGCACTAAATAATAACTTGTACAGAAATTGACGTCTGCCTCTTGCGAAGCGAACTAGGATATGCCTGTATTAAATTACAAATTATGTTGACAATGGAAAATAAAATACATAGTAGATATCGCTAATGGTCGCATCTGTTTAGCTGGAGGCTATATTGCGTCTTAAAAGTGTAATCTGACAGAATCGGCGTGGTCTTTATGCTTAATAACCTCTTCGTATTCGCTTCTTCACTGAAAATCGCCGAGCAATGGCTGGACCTAGTTTAATACAAAGGACCTGATTTGTCACTGGCACTGACTTTCTTATTTTTTTCGTTCGGTTCTTTTGCCCAGTTTGAAATTACTAGAAAACAGAATAAATGTTTTACAAACGAACAAAATATGTAATTACAGCACATATCGATTTTTTGTTCGTTTAACCGAACTATATAATTTTAGTGCGATGATCTATAAAGTATCCATATCCTTTTAACGCGGCTATTATTTTTAAAAGACCCCTCCACGGATTCATACAATCGATTTTAATGATACACTTTGGCGGTACCGTTATCGGTTTCCCATATGATTTCGCTCATGTAGCACAACACCATATTTTACATTATATTTCATTATCGCAAAACTTTTACTATTAATTTAACACAACGCTTCGGCGGCATTGTGGACTTTCACACGCAGCCGGTATCTTGGATGTTACGCCGATTTCGGGTTAAAGCACTGCGGGGTTAGGTCAGGTCAGATATCGCTAAATGTAAATCAGCCTGAAAATGAAGTTAACAGGATGACTGGCAAAATCTCGCGCCAGTCCGAGATGCACATTTTCATATACGCCATCACATGCTTCAGTGTCGAAATAGTAGACAGGAGATTCATAAATCAATCAAACAATTAACAATAATAAAATAATCCTTATCCAAACTTTACTAGATGTTACATTTTTTCGTTGCTATGGAGACATAAATAACATGCCGAGGTATTGTTTGTGGACTCGAGCTATACTGAAGGAAAAATATCGGAAGTAATGAAAGAAGATACACCGGAAAAGTCTAGGGCAAGGTATGAAAAGGAATACAACAGTTTTACGCAGCGGTGTGGCGCAAAATAATAATTAGTTTATGATAAAATCGACATTATCTATTTGTTGTTTTATATTTTAACAATTTTTGGGAACCTCTAAAATGATACGACCACGGAATCGCAATTCTCGCACGCCTCACTCATTGCACGGACCAACATGTTGGGAATAAGTCACTGTCTACTACTTTGTCACTTTATAATTGCACAATAACCGAATACATACTGTTTAAAAAAACTATCGTTGAACTTCTAGCTACTTTAACAATAAACTCTCACACAGAAAGGTCAAATGAAATCATGGGGATTCTCCTTTTTTTTTTTCTCTCCACAAAATTCACTATCATTTCGCTAACAAGGCGTTTTTAACAACTCTAAAAATCGCGTAATGAATTTATTGCTGTCGTTATGTGCCGCTATAAATGTCCAATATGCAGAGTAACATCTAATAAAATATACATGTTTATTTTTATGTGACAAATTGGATTTTTATGTTGCTATAAGTTTGCTTTTTAAGTGTAGGGGAGTAGCGCCTTCTGTTTCAACTTGAATACATAAAAAGTTGGAATATTATTAAAATTCGCCACATAGAACGAATCAAGGTACAAATGAAGACCTCCCACAGTCTTCTGTCCTATCTAGTTCGAGATCACACACTCGGTAATATTGAATTTATGGGCGGGCCGCAATGGCGTGGCAGATTTTTTTTAGTATCAACAATAACAAATCGCCGGCCATTACCTTAATGCGATAGTTTCTGAAAATAATAGTGGCTTGTACGTCAATTGCCAGTCCCAGTCCATTGTGTCCGACTATTAAAATCGCTGTTTATAAATGACTGAATAAATTGCATATCCTTTGTCGCGTGGATTCAATTTTTGCGATGCGCGTGGTTCTAGACAAGATGATTTGAAAATAATTTGTTTTCGATTACTATTATCATGAAAGCTATTCCCCTGATATATTTTTTAAATTCTTAGCTATACTTTTACTTTATTTTAACGGTTTAAGGTTTTTTTCTCATTTATTTGGTATTTTGCCACATGCCAACAACCAACTGCACTATTGCTCTGAGTGAGTATAGCACAAAGCGCAATAAATCCTTATCTCCGATCATTTTCCTGACCGGTTTGATTGTCACCAAGTGAGGAGGTCCTTCACGGATAAACAATCATTGCCAAATGGACGCGTCGCGCCTTCCCGATCAGCATATCAAGCTTTTAATCACGGTACTAAGTACGTTAAAATCGATGACCCGCACCGCATCCGAGACGGTACCTCCCAAAGAGCGGTTATGGGTATCGTGAGAACACTTCGAGTGTGTGGGTGACTGACGGTGGGTGTCCGTAAATCGGCACCGATATCTGATGACCATCTGTCACAAGGCATATGATTTGTTGGCCGGCGGAGTGGAAGATGGATGCGATGGTTTCTGCCTGTCCGCTTTTTCGAAGACTTGTCCAAGCCCATCCTCAGTTGTTCATGTACAAGACCACTACCTTACAAAAATTTCATATTCTAAAAAGGTACTGCTGGAAAATAGACTGAGACAAGTGTTATTAGGAGCAGCAACAATAGAAATGCTAATTACTTTACCAATCAAATACTTATTTGCACGTTCTGCTGTACCTCAAGGGTCCAGTTTAGGCCCTGTACTCTTTATGTATATGGTGGCTTACAGTGTGGTATGTTATTATTTGCTGATGGTCCCAGGATATATTATATGTCATGTTGAGCATTCGTCTAAGGTTAACTTTGTACTGCATTGTAAGATAATTATACTGTGAATTTTTGAAACATTTTCAAGCTTGAATGGAAGTTACCAAGTGCAAGATAACTACTTTTTTATGTAAAATCACCCCAAACCAGCGCCGGATTAAGCCTCGGTGGGGCCTGGGGCTTGAAGGGAAGGGGCCCTCTTAAACTTCCTTTATGAGGAAGCAAAAGTCCTTTTAAATTAATTAATTTAGTATGCTATTTTCTTAATATTAAATTTTATATGTAATACAACATACATTTCCAATGAAAATGATTTGTTCAGGTAAAACATAGCATTAGAAATTGTCATTAAGTACTTTTACTACCGTTTTTCCAATAGCATGAGGGCCCCTCGGAGCCTGTGGGTCCCGGGGCTACAGCCCCGCCTAGCCCCCTGGTTAATCCGGCGCTGCCCCAAACTGAATGTTCTTAAACTTCTAACAGTGAACTTTTAAGAGCTAGGGTACCTAATTAAAGATTTAGAGAATAATTTTTTATAGTAAACTCAAACAATTTGAAAATATTGAAACATTTTTTCATTATTTCAAATAATCAATCGAATTGTACAGAAAAAAAATAGTGCTATTAAATCCTTAAAATTGATAAATAAAAAATTTAGAACTGTTCTAATTTTTTTTAAAAAGGTTTTTAGAGTAGACTGAAAAAAAAACTTTCGAAATTCGTTCATTTTTCTGCTTAGGATTTTTTAAAATTTATTCTTGAACTACTAGCCTCCTTAACTCTGTTAATTTTAATAATAGAAGAAAAAGTCAATAGATATTTATTAAGAAACTTACTTTTTTCCTAACTCTTACCCTTTTTACGTTATGTGGAGAGAACATTTTATTTTGAAAAATATATAACTGTCACTTATTGTTATTATATACCTCAAACTAACGTATAAAACATTGAGGCAAGTTGATCAAAATTATGATTAAATTGAACTATAATAAACCACTATTTTGAATAAACTTTTTAATTAAGAATCAAACCGTCACCTTTTGGCAATCTGTAAAAAATGGATAATTTAACAAAAACTTAATATATCAAACTTCTTTACCTGAATACTAATCCTGAGATTTCTCTTCAATTTCATTTTCATTTTGAAATTATAATTTTGCCAGAAAATGGTAATTAAAATGTAATGAAAATTTTGACACTTTTTCCATCAGAAGAAGGGGCACATCTTATTATTGTTATTAGTTTGTTTGACTTGTTTTTGATTGAATACAATCAATATATATTTTTTGACATCAAAAATTATTATATTTACTGTATATTAAACGTTATTTTGTCAAAATAATTTAATCCCTCCAAAAACATTTTTCTTATCAAACTATCCCTTAAGGTAAAAAATTTCGTAGTATCTATCCTATCTCTACGTTAAATTTCAAATAAAAGTATGCACAAGACATTTCGCAACGTAAATCTATAACTCTGAACTGGAATACAACAGCTTTATTTACTAAACATGGATTCAAAACCCTCTTAATAAGAGTTATGTATCGTCCTTACTTGTTTTTCCACAAGACTAATTTTTGAATATGAATGACGGCAGTTGCAAACAAATATGATAGTCGTTTGTACTTTCATTAGTAGTTTCATTCAAAAATATATATTGTCTCTAGGTATTTATTTGGAACATAATTTTACTTTTTTTTGTTTGTTTGGATAGATGCTGCACATGAATACATTTTAAAAATTAATTGAATTAGGATTTCGCCAAAAAGATCAGCCAAGGGCTTATGGAAATTTTGACGTAAACATTAGTTTAATTTTATTATAATTTCTTCACATGTAGCAAAACACCTAAATAAAAAAGCAAACACAATTATTTTCCGTAAAAAAGTAGCTCCATTGATTAAATTGAGTTCCTGCCAAACTTACCTTAATTTTCTTAGACTATCTTAAGAACTTCCAAGCTTAATTTTCCTCAATATATTCCAGAACGCGACACATCTTTAACAATCGAAAAATGTAGGTTCCCAGCAACACTCCGTATACGAATAACGTGCCCCGCGACGTTCGATTGTTATCTAAAGCGCCTCGACGAGTATTATTGTTAACACTTATTAATTATTACCGATCAAGTCCTGTTCTTAAACATACCATGTGGAGACTGATCACAGTAGTCTTGAGAATTACCGACATGGTCCCCCTCCAGGTTTTCTTTTATTTTCTCTAGACCCATTGCCCACCTCCCTAACTTACTCATTCACCTCTTCGAGGAAGAAGAAATCCTTAGGTATTGTTAAATGTTAACTAACCGATAATCCATTTTGATCGCGGACTTCGGCCAGCTGAAGACCGATTTGGTAATTTCGTAGAAAGTAAATGGCTTGGGCGTATTAGGCAGCTAGACGGATGTCATTCAAGCGCTCTTTAGATCATTTCTGTACGGTTGTCTCGACGAATTTTCATTATTGTTAAAAAAAAATAATTAATTAGGTAAAATGCACAACAATTTACAACAATAACCCGAAATTACTATCCTTAACAAAGATCAACGGGAAAATATAGTTAAAAATTGGCAAACTAAACATTTTAATTCACATCATGAAGAAATCCCTGATTTTTTTTTTTGACAATAAATTTGGTAGATTGTACGTAAGTTTCCAGTTTCTTCATTATAAAATATTAGTGTACTGACATACCTTACTGCTTACTGATAGTCAATTGTTTTATTATTCTGGCACCCCATATATTTACGCAAGATCGAAAGTATAAGTAGATGTAAATGCAAACAACTTAAAATTACGACAATACAAAACTACATGGAATAAATATTTATTAAATGTGAACAATCTAAAGACTGCACAAAAAAATACTTAATTCGGAATATTAAAATTGCCTTGGCAATCTATACATTCTACATTGTTTATTACACATAAGCAACAATATTGTGAGAAATGAGATTCATTGTCATTTTATCAGAACTAACAATCCATTACAAAACTTGGCATTAAATTTTATAATACATTACCAACAACAATACATGATACTATTTTAACTATTTTTATAGTTTTTATATTCATGTTTATTAATTTTCTCAATGTTTTATCTCTTACTTTGTGTATTCTATTCTATTTTACCTGTGTAAAAAATGTTTTATACAGGGTCATTCAAAAATGGTGACCAAAAATGATACCTCGTATTCTTTGGTGATTTTTAAGGGTACCTAGTAATTGTTATAAAGTTTTTATTTAGGACGCTTCGTTAAAATTATATAGGGTATTAAACTTCAAAAAATATTTTTAATTTTTTTAAATAACTTAAAAACTAGTAAGTGAAATAATTCGAAATTGGCACATGTATTTATGTAAACATTGTCTAAAATCTGAGGGCTTTTCCCAAAATTTACATTTACGGTAACAACCATGATATTTTCGGATCCGTCTTTCAATTTTCTACAAATTACTGTATTCGAAAAAAGCCTGATTTTCGAGTAAAACTTAAAAAATCAATTGAAAACACTGTTACTTAAATGACCTGGCAAGCACTAATCATTCGGTTATTTGTTCGAACAAAGAAATTAATAAAGGGCCCCATATTCTTTAAATAGTGTTTTCCGCAAAGACAAATAATTTCAAACATTTAATAACTGAATAATCTAAAGCTTATCAAATAATAGGAATGTTATGTCATGCCATCTGGTTATTTTCAAAGACGCCGCAGTAAAACGAATAAACAGGTGCAAAAAACGATCAAACCATCAAGGTTTTAGGTACTGAAATCTTCGAAAATACTAACTTTTTTATATATAATTCCACATGTAAATATTCTTATAACATTTACTTGCTTAGTCCTACATATAAAATTGTTTACTTTTATTTATAAGTACGTGAAAATAATTCTTAAAATGTGGGGTTAGAATAACAGCAAACGCATGTTTTACAAACGCTTTTTTTTTAGTTCTTATTTTATTTGAGTAAATTTAAATGGTAACAATGAATAAACAAAACATCAAGGATTTTATTTTTGTGCTTACTTTTGTTCTACACGTTTTACTTTCAAAGATTTCAGTACCTAAAAACGCCAGAAATTTCACTATTTCTCGGCCGGGAATATGGCCACCTTAATGATTTTAATTGAGTACAAGCTCAAAAATACCACCATTTCCACGAACACAGGCCCGACATATTTTTAGTAACGAAAATGTAATTTGTTCGAAATGTATTGTTGTTGAATCTGATGAAGAGCATTATTTATTAGTTTTTCTAACTGCTCAGAATGTCAAAGTTATTATCGCAGCCCACTATCTAATTTTAAAAAGCATTAGGTATATTCGAATATCGAAGTGTGTTCTTAGTTCGTTTTTTAAGTTTTACTCGAAAATCGGGCTTTTTTCGAAAAACATAAGAGAGTAGTAATTTGTAGAAAACTGAAAGACGAGTTCGAAAATATCATGGTTGTTACCGTAAAGCAGTGGCGTTCTATTTATTTATAAAAATATGCCACCGATACCCTGTGCCTCCGCCACTGCAGTATGTACATTTTAGGAAAAGACTTCAGATTTTGGATAATATTTACATAAATATAATATGTGCCCAATTTCAAATTATTTCATTGATTAGTTTTTAAATTATTTAAAAAAATTAAAAAATATTTTATAACACCCTATATCTTTTTAACGAAGCATCCTAGATAAAAACTTTATAGGAAAGACTCTCCTTAAAATTCAACAGAGAATACGAGGTTTCATTTTTGGTCCTCATTTGTGAATCACCCTGTATTTTAGGTACTCACGGAATTACCTGACATATTTTTACCTATTTCTTCCTACATAAATGATATTTTGAAAAGGCCTGAAGGATATATTATTGTTTAACATCTACTGTGCATATTAATAAAATTATAACTTTGTTTTCCAAAGATCTTGAGAAAATTGAAGAAACTAAACACATAACCGATGCGTTATTCAGGTCCACTTACGAATATCCTCGAATAAAAACATCTTTTCCTCTTTCCGTAACATTTCGTGCTCTGGATACGATACTGCCAACTATAAGAGAAACCGTTTTTCCTAATGGATAGCCGGGCTACAGCATTAAATATTCACCAGGGGTTCTCGGTAAGAATGTGGGATATGTAATACAAATTTAGTGGAGAAAGTCGTAGTTGACAAACGCATATGCTTGAAAAGTATACGTAGAAGTTGAAATATTAAGTGAAACGTTAAACGAAGCGCTGGTCCATTCATAAGGATGAGATTAGGACCAATTTAGAACCGAACCAATAGACGTATAGGCGGCTAGACTGTAGGTCAAGGTATCTTTGGATTATCTATAGGCAGAGATTTAACTGTATTATTTACCAGTTTCGGTTAGTTTATCTAAAATAAAAATACGTGTGAAATTTACCGACGTTTTGGATTTAAAAAGCTTTTATACTTGAAATATTTATAGCTTCTCTCTAGGGCTCAAAAGTAGGTACAGTGTACAGTATCTCCACTTGACGATATCGATCTAAACCATCCGAGATGTTAAATAATTAGTGATCTAGATCTGCAGATGAATCACACAGACGTAAAAAATGCCTACATCATCTAGTCCATTTCCTAAACCTTGATATATCCACTTTACTAAGGAAACCGATAATTATAAAGAAAAATACGTTTATTCATATTCTTTTTTAATTAGCATCAACTTGTGCGAAATATAACGAGCCAACTTTTTATATGTGTCAAAATGATTTAGTTCTAATTTTTATCACCTAGTTAAAATTAATGTACGGCATATATCATTACGTTCCGAATTACCAAAAAAATAATGATTTGTTGCGGAAATATTTAATGGAATTTTAAACTTTTTAATGAAAGGTAGGCAATAATAATAATTAGCAGCGACGTACGTTAGATAAGGAATCGAATCTACAGGGCAATTAATACTATTTCCAGGAACAATAAAAAAAATCAGATTTGATGTAAATGCGCATGATTGTAATAGAAAACTTGTTGAGAATTCACTTTTTATGTGAGTTGGGAAGCAAAAATACAAATACTTACAAGAAAAAAAGCGTCCGTGCAAATAACAAACCGAATATTGTAATATCATTTGCAATCGAAAAACATGAAAAAAAATGTTTTTATATTTATAAAATCGAGTATAGAAAGTTTATTTGTTTTCTAATTATTAAATGAAATACAATATGTTTTCCCGTTTTTTTTCATTTTCATTTGTATGCAAGATGAGATGGTACAATGGACATGTTAGTAAGAACCCCTATTAAAAAAAATACTTTTGTTTCAGTTTTGTGTAATGTGTAGCGAAAATTTCACTTGCTTGTCCATAACAGGCACTGGACGCGACTTTGCATATAAAAGCTCATATTTTGGATACACTTTCTAAATAAACCGTAAACAGTCCAGTGGAGTGCGTACAAAATTTTGATATAACTGTTCTTGTGTTAAAAATCAACAATTATTTTTCAAAGTAATAAGAAAATGATCAGCGAGCAAAGAAAAAATCAAATAACATTACTTAAATGTTGTGTTAAACAAATTATTTTAAGTAAAAGATTTTATATGAACGTGGGTGAGATACAGGGTGTCGAAATTAGAAAAAAAAAGAATATCATTTTCTGAAATACTGTCTCCAGAATATGTTTTTGTAGAATCAATTATCTTCGATTCACTTAAAATTAAAAAATCAGATCTAATGATTCTACTACAAATATCCAGAACGATTTTTTTTCTAATTGTAACAGTACCTGGAATAAAATCTGGATCAACCTTTATATTTTACGTCTACATTTTACGATTAGAATCCTCTAGCCGCGCCACTGGCCAGGACGTATTATTTTCTAATCGGTACATAAGTCACGAACGGGCGAAGACAATTACCATCGATCGGCCGGCACGTCATAGATGGACTTTCATAATTTCACTTCTGCCTTTGTGTCGCGTTTGATAAAATCACACGGTGCTCTTCATACCCCATAAACAGTCCGCCAACGGTGGCGAGAAACTTGTAATTGTTCCCTAAATATGTACAAACTATTCGCGGTAGCTTCTTAGTTCTTACTCTAATTACCTATTAACCTGATTAGACCCAACCGACGAGGAGGTGGATTTCGCTGAACATTACCGGACGAAAAACACTGGAGTTTTTATATCTGAAGATCAGTCTTAAGGGTGTACTGTGTCCAGTTTTATGGAGCAATTTGAAAGAAACAAGTTTTAATGATTGTCTATTTTAACTAGACAGCTGAACGGCAGACTCGTCTCTTAAAAAAATCTATAAGCCAAGAAAACAGGTTTGTCCATATTTTCAAGAACAGCTTTAGTCCCAGTAATTTTTTTGGGCAATATGCCGCCAAATAAAAGAGTGAATTGGAATCAAATAATGCCCTAGAAAATTAAATAATAAATAATAGTCACGGAAGTATTTTATAAAACTTTCTTTATATTACAGTCCATCAATGAAACTTGACAACAAACAAATCTTCACGTTAAAGATTTTTCAGATCCTGTGCCAACTGAGTAACAGCCGGATGCTGATTCAACGCGCTCATGTATATGTCCAACTCGTCCTCAGAACTTTCGTCCTTATCCTTCGTGTCAATCACTTCCGGGTCCTCCGAGGCGAAGTACTTATCTTCCTCGTCGTGGTCTATCTCGTTAATATTATCGAAGGAAGAATTGTTGTCCACAGTGTCGTAATTAAAATCTTCATCCTTCCCATCTAGAAAGTTTTGGTACATCGTGGTTATGAATTCTTGCTTTAACAGCAGCCGTTCTTGTGCCGTTATAGCAGGAGCTTTACTTTTTGGCTTTGGCCTGTGAGTTTTATCCTCTTCAAATTCCCCCCATCTCGAGGTAGAAGGTACAGGGCTCAGCGACCTGGCTGAGTCCTCGTCTGAGGTATCGTCCTCTTCTTCCATTTGGTTATCCTCTTTTTCTTCTTCGTTTTTCCTTACTATTTCAGCATTATCTCGTTCAATACCTTCCATGAGGATCTTCACAAAAGTTACCTCCTCGTCCATTTTATACTTGTCTCTCTCTTTCTTTTCTTGAACGGTGAGGTATTGCCCTACAAGTTGTTCGTAGAGCAAAGGGTTTCTCTTCATCATTTCAATTTCGGAAAAATAGGAATCTTCAGCTATCATTTGCAAAAGCGCAGCGTATCTTCTGTTCTTCACGTCGACATGATGTGCACTTTCAGAGACATTTCTGTACAAGTCTTTGAGAACTAAATCTATTTCCTCATTGTCGGGCTCGTAGTTTTGTGTAAACTGTTCAAAATATTCTAGATGTTCGCGTTTTAGATATTTTCCGAACCGCATCAAGAAATTCAGTTTGCTGTTGTCGAAAATATTTAAGGCGATGTCTGATTTTTCTTTAACGGTCAAATCAGCCTCCCACTTCTGTTGGCTTTTGAAACAGATGCTTTCGTTGTGTGTCAGGAAGCTTATTATATTATTTTTCTCGTCGTCTATCGCCATATTCTGTCCTTCTTTCCCTTCCGAGGCTTCTTCCGAAGAATTCGCATTAAACTCCACTTCCATGGTCATTGTTCCTGGAACAATTAATTGCAACGTATAGAACGCCAATTTCAATTTGTAACATATTTTATAGGTATAATTTCCTCATAATTTTAATAAGTCACGTACTTTACTCTTAAATATAAAAAATATTCCGCTATTTTGAATATAAACGGATTATTTTACTGATATTGCACTGCATATCGTAAAAACTTATCAACATTTATAATTATATTAAACAGGTTTACTCCATGACCTTCGCTAACACTATTTTTATTGGTCATTTGTTTTTTTTTCGTTCTGACACATCATGATTTAATCGAGACTATACCACAGTGCATATAACAAAGATGGTCTATAAATAATAATAATAGTAATTTTTTTCTCGTCCCATATGAAGAAAGTCAGTTTTATTTTTATTTTCAGTGACACACACTGTAGTATTTTATCTTTAATCAATACCAGAGGCATTAGACAACACGTATGTATATCTGAGCATCAGAATGATACATCTGGCGCCATCTTACAGTTCGTAGTATGAATTAAAATGACGCGTTTACAGAGAACTGTACCGAATCAACGTGCAAACAATTGCAACAACTGTTATGAACACTTCTAAGCCTTAGTGAATCATTTAACCTAACAATGCACTGTGATACTACTAAATTTTTACATATTTGTGATATTTGATTAGCGCAATAATATAATTTATACTTACCGCAACCGTCGTATGTTACACGGAAGTTATTTACCAGTTCTGCAGTAAGTATCTTGAATATTTCAACAAATAAACATCTGTAGAAAAAATTAATTTGCACATTTGATTGAATGTTTTATATTTTCAATTTCATAATTCCGTTTATAACAAAGTTTGTGTACACAGTAATTGTAGCAATTAACACTGACTTACATTTCAATATTATTTAAATTGCATTCTTTACTAATCTCTGTCTAAAGTCAAAACAACTGTCACCTTTTACAGGTACCTACTTCAACAAAATGGCGAACGTAAGCTTGCACAGCTCGCCGCAGTGGCGCTGGAATTGGGTGGATCTTTGCGGCGAGGAATTCAAAATATGGGCGCCACAACGCCACGACTTGGGTATTTGCTTCCAGCAACTATGCCTCGACATTCCTGTTTTAGCCATGCTAGCGATATCGTCAGCGTATTACTTCGGTAGACACGAGGGTTTTGTCACCAGAGGTAGAATCCAACTGATAGCCATTAATATCCGATGCGTCATTGTCCTTTGCCTAGCCTTCCTGCCCCTCATACAGATATACATAGACATAAACAAAGGACAAGCACAAATAAATAAAATATCGTTCTTCCTCAGCGCGGTGCAAGGAATAACCTGGTTCACGCATTTGGGTTATACCATGGGTTTGAGGAAGAGGCTTGGTAAGAGTCCTAGAGGGCCTATTTATATGTGCATTGTTTGGTCTTTGATGCTGGCTTTGACTGTTATATCGTTCAGAAGCCATTACCTTCTTTACAGTTACTCGATCCAGGCCAACTACAGTATTTGCTTGGCCTACGGCTTTAGTATTTGTTATTTGATAGCACACATAGGATATGCCTTGACTCTCATCCCAAGTGAAGGTAGCAGCACTTACTTCAATTTCTCCAACAGATATACAGAGGTAATCAAAAAATTGTTCTCACCAAGCACTGGTTTATAGCTAAGTTTAAAAATTATATATAACAATATCATGACTCCCAGAAAAATTATATTCTCTTTCCTCCCAACTTCTGGTAACGCCACTGGTGGCTAGAGATTAATAAAATACTATTTAATCTTTTTGTTGTATTAAAGAAATTAATTATTGATTAAAATAATATTTTCCACCGACATTCGCAGATCGGCGAGAACCAGCCCCTTCTGACCAGCAATGCCTACGTGCGCTTCACCGAAGAGGGCGACCCCACTTACCTGGGGGTGGCCATGGAGGAAGCCAATTGGTTCTCCAAGTTGTTGTTTTACTGGGTGAATCCCATGATGGAGAAGGGTCTGCAGGGAAAGATAAGCAATTCGGACGATCTCTACGACCTACCCATGTCCCTCAATTGCGGATTAATAAGCGCCAAATTGTCCAAGCACTTGAGTCGAGGGAAGGGACGCGAGAGCAATTCAGCAGGTATTTATTTTGTATGTGTGTAGTTACAGGTCAGTAAAAATAGGGATGAGGGGTTGAATTGGTCCCTTTAGTGCGGGACGTAACAGATTTTAATTGTTAGGATCAATAAAATGTACACAGAGGACGTATTCTGTCGACGACAAGAAAAACTATCTAATATTTTATATAAGTGTTCTAAATTTTTAACTGTTCCTAATATTGAATTGAAACATGAAACACAACCAAGTACTATCAATGAAACGCGTGCAAAGAAACATGGCTCTCTTTTTTTCGAAATAAGAAACCTGGTTATATAATTACAAGTGGTCAAGGTCGACGTTCGATCGCATCTCTAACGGGAGCGCGTTGAAACCTGAGCGAGCTTCGGTACGGTATCAGCTCTGACGCTGGCCTCAAAATTCGCAGTCTGCCAGGGTCGACTGGAAAGTTTTTCAAGTATTTCCGATGCTTTTTGATGCATTTAGAAGTATATTTTTATTTTTCACAAAAATACCTCGCGATGCTGCAAGAAAAATACAAACATACTTCTTATTTATTCTCCATCTCGTAGAAGACCTACCATCCACCATATCATCCGCCTCGACGCCGACGTCCGTAGACGTCTCGTTCGCAGGAACCGGAAAGAACAAGACCACTCTTTTCATGGCCCTGCATCGCTGTTTCTGGGTCCAGTTCTACAGCGTAGGCATCTTGAAGTTCGTAGCGGATTGTGCGGCCTTCGCTGGGCCCATGCTCTTAAACAGGTTGGTGGGATTTATCGAGGACAAGTCCGAGGACGTAGAATGGGGGTATATCTACGCCGCTGGGCTTATGAGTACCACCGTCGTATGTAAGTAAAGAGCGCAGCATTTCTGAAATATGTATTTTAGGGCCTGCAGATTTAAATGAATTTAGATGTGACAAATTGATCATTAAAAATATTAATTAATTATATAAAATTCGGTTTTTGTAACTACAAAAACGATATTTTTCAGCATCCCTGTGCGACTCCCACTTCAATTTCCAAATGGCCCTTGTGGGCCTGAGGATGAGGGGTGCTTTGGTCACGACCATTTACCGCAAGACTCTAACCGTGAGCTCGACTGTCTTGAACGGCCATTTCACGGTAGGGGAAATAGTTAACTTTATGTCGACGGACACCGATCGGATCGTGAACTCCTGTCCCAGTTTTCACGCCTTGTGGAGCATTCCCTTCCAGGTAAGCAAGAGAGAATGTTATTACCAACAACAGATTGTTTAAAACGCTGCAAAATCATTGATACTTTTAATGCAAAGCCTCACATCCGGCACGACATCGCCTAGTGACGTCATTGCTAGTGGTATAGGTCTTCAATCGTAAATGAAGTTGTTTATTAATTTCGGCAAGTATTTTAAAATTAATTACATAGTAAAACTTATTTTTAAACAATCCTACACATAAAATATAGAGACTAATGTCATATAATTTTAAATATTTATACTAAGGTTATGGAGACTTTATGACAAAGTCCAGTGTTAAGTTACATTTACCACTGTTTCGTTTCCATGCGGTGTTCGAGTCGCTATAATTTTTCGCTTGTTTCTAGCATTATAAGCGTTGTATTTTCAGCTTGCCGTGACTCTGTTCCTGCTCTACAGCCAGCTGGGGATATCCTTCCTAGCCGGCGTAGTTTTTAGCGTAATACTTATCCCAGTAAATAAGCTAATAGCGAGCAAAATAGGCCAATTAAGCACGAAACTTATGGAACACAAGGACGCCAGGGTTAGGCTAATTACCGAAGTTTTGAGGGGTATTAAGGCCATAAAATTATACGTCTGGGAGCAACACTTTATACGGCTGGTAACCAGTAAGTACGCTATCCCGATAGAACAGCAAAAAAACTTATGTTTCGAACGTAAAATAGTGAACGAGAAACAAGGAAACAGTTTTCTGATTTAAATTTAAAGTAAATCCTGAACTGAAGTATATTTTCTCATTTCCGTTTTTTCAATGTTACGGAAATAATATTATTGATTCTGTCAAAAAAATACAGTTTGTCAAATTGTTAACAGATGTAGCTATATTTTTTTTCATTGTTTACCGATACAACTTTTCTACTCAATTATCGGGTCTTCTAAGCATTTTGATTGGCTAACCTCGCATTTCCTCCAGAACTGAGGGATCAAGAACTGAAGTACCTAAAGGGCAGGAAGTACTTGGACGCCCTCTGCGTGTACTTCTGGGCAACAACTCCTGTCGTTATATCCATCCTCACTTTCGGCACCTACGTGCTGTTGGGCAACAAACTATCCGCCGCCACCGTCTTCACGGGGATGGCCCTGCTGAACATGCTGATAAGCCCCTTGAACGCCTTTCCCTGGGTGCTTAACGGCATGGCCGAGGCGTGGGTGTCCGTGAAGAGGATACAGAGGCTGTTGGATGTAAGTGAATCGATTTTTTTACTCTACTCTTTGTTGTTTAAATTATTAATTATTGTCTTTAAATCCTGAAGAAGCCATTGCTCTTCCAAATTACCGATTTATTATCCTTGAAATTAGCTCCATTTATTCATTTTTTCTTGTTAATACCAAAGCGAGGCATAAACGCGATGTATGTGCAGCAATGCGGTCATTTAATCCTGCGTAAATTTTAATCTTACTGCTAGATATAAATTAATCGCTAATACGAGTCAGTTCGGGTCCATTCACAGCGTTTACCAATTATATGACATGTATTTATTGCCGTGATATTAATTCATCCAGGGAATACAGTCATTTGGCGAATCCAAAATTAATTTCGCATCGATATCAACTATTGTATGTCACCAGAGAAGCGGGTAGCATGGAATGGTACTATTTTTCAAACTGCCTTTGGATCCGACATGATTTACGTCATAATTGAAAAGAAACTTAATAATTACGAGTTGTAACAGAGATTAGTGTTAATTGTAACAAGAACTACAATAATTATCTTGAAACCTAAAATACTGGAATATTTTCCGGTAAATTTGATCACTCATGCTTATCAAATCTAAGTTTAATTAGCGTCCTCATTTGTTACAAATTTTGGTTTCCTGTCAATATAATGTGAAATTGTAACAGGCCCCAATATAATTTCTCTTTCTGTTTCTTAAAAGGTATATTAACGAAGTCTATTCTATTTGTTTGCCTAGGCAGTGTCCAAATCATTTCAATTAACAATCTGAATAACAAAGAAAATTAATACTTGTTAGTAATTCAATTGAAAATGTCAATTGTAACAAGTTACAATCCACACCAATAGACATAACAATTGTAACAAAAGAGTATACGTATTAGGATGGCCCAAAAAAATGAATTTTGTTTTTTCGTGTCTCTTGTGAAAATATGTTAGTTTGTCATGTTTTAAGAGTCCCCTCAAATTATCAGGTCAAAAAAAATTTTTTTAGAGGTCCCTCAAGATTTTAAAGAATTCCAAATTTGTCAAAAATTGATTTTTTTTTTTATTTTTTTCTCGTTATTATATCATTTTTTAGGTTGAAAAAATCTCGATTCTGAAAATTTCAAATCGATATTTTAATTTCTAAAGGTCACTCATAATTATTATAACTTTCAAAGTAGTGTACCTAAATAATAAATATCAACGAACTAATTATTTTTTTTATTGAATTTGATGAACAAAAGAATAGAAATAAATCACGACACACTTAAATTTTAAAAAATTAAAAAATTATAAATATTTGATACTCACAGTCCGGTAGTAAATTTTGCCTCGAAAAATTTTTTAAATGTCTCCTGATTTATTTCTATTCTTTTGTTCATCAAATTCAATAAAAAATAATTAGTTCGTTGATATTTATTCTTAGAGGTCGCTCGAAAACATTTTAGGTACACTACTTTTAAAGTTAAAATAATTATGAGTGGCCTTTAGAAATTAAAATATCGATTTGAAATTTTCAGAATCGATATTTTTTCAACCTAGAAAATGATACAATAACAAGAAAAAAAAATAAAAAAAGAATTCAATTTTTGACGATTTTGGAAATTTTTAAAAATCTTGACCGACCTCCAAAAACATTTTTTTGAGCTGATTTTTTGAGGGGGCTCTTAAAACATGATAAACTAACATATTTTCACAAGACATGAAAAAAAAAAAATTCGTTTTTTTTGGGCCTCCCTAATACGTACGCGTATATTCTACAATTATGTACCTAGCAAACGATTAAAATTTACAATTTTAATATAAGTGTAGTAATTTTCTCGTAAGGTCAATACGAGAATTGAACTACTTAATTTAGATACACTCAGCAAAAAATTTAAAGAAGCAGAAAAATTTCCAAATTTTTTTCTAGCGATTTTTGAAAGGTTGTAACTTTGTGAATAATGGTCGTTTCGAAAAAAAAATAAAGCATCTTAAAGCTTGAATATTCTAGTTTTGAAATCTTGAGAAGAAATTTTTTTTAGAGCATCACTTTCTTCAAAAGAAAATTTTACAATTTTTGTTTTTTCAAAACATCACACGGGTTCAAAAATTTTTTTTCTGGCTTAATCAATGCCAGGGTCATTTAGCCTGCTTCATCAGCTTCAATTTTTTTTTTATTTTCTGTACAATTATTTCTCATTGAGATATCGGCTAATAAGTGAAGGGTCACTTTTTTTTTATCATCGATATCTCATGAACTAATGAACGGAAGGTGGGTTTTAGAAACCTGAATTAATCCTCCTCAAGGACGTTTTGGTATGTTTGAGGAAAAAATAATTTTGTACTCGGTATTAACTTGAAAAAGTTAAAAAAATTACTTTTTCTGCTGTTTTGGAAAATCGACGACTACTTTGCGATTATTGGGAAAAGTAGCAATGTTTGTAGATTTTTTTTAGCTCAATTGAAATATTCAATGTAAAAAAGATATCGTAAATAAATTTTAAAAAAATTTTGAAGAATTTGATTTTTTTTCAAGACTGAATTTTCTCTTCGATATATTCCTGAAGTTACAGCCAAAAATCACTAAAAAAATTTGGAATTTTTTTTGCTGAGTTTATATGTCGACATCGATCTTTACACCCACAATTAAATTTTAAGTACCTTTCGAATCGCATTTATGACATGTCGGACCTCCAGATTCCAGACCTGGACCTGGAACACTTCTACAGCAGGAGGCTGCTCGACGAGTGCGACGACAACACGGAGATCGTAATCAGGGAGGGCGGCTTCGATTGGGGCAAGGAATTAAGCAGGGCGGAGAAAATGCGGCTGCACGCATTAAACGAGAAAACTTCCGTCAAAGGGAAAGGTAAAGGCAAAAGGTCCGCGCTGACGATAGACAAAAGGAAAAGCTTTGAGAGTCACATCGTCGAGGAGGGCGAAGACGGCGGTTTCAGACTGCACCGTCTCAATTTCAAAATCAGAAAGGTAAGTGGTGCGCGAGCCGCAGCAAATGCTGATTTAATTACTTCTTCGTTGAAAGCAAAATTTATTTTTTTTGCGTCAAGTCCAAAATAGGCAGTCGCTCATTCTAGACCGTGCTACGAGTAGGGATTGCGGAGAATGCGTTTCCATAGGCGTACCATTTTAGAGGTTTCCAAAAATTATTAAACATAAAACGACAAATAAATATTGATATTTACCTTGTTCATTAATACTTATGACAAAGGAAACGTATTTTTCAAATTTTAATATGTTTTAAACTAATTTACGCCATCGCATTTTGTCTGTATAATAAAATTTATTCCAGGGTGAATTCGTGGGGATCATCGGGCCAGTAGGTAGCGGAAAGTCATCGTTTTTATCGGCAATTTTGGGCGAGCTCCCGATCGTGTCGGGGGAGATCGCAATTAACCAGATTGAGTCAGGTGAGTTGCATTACCGGATAGGTGTTCATTGTGTACGGGTGGGGAGATAAAAATGACTGCTTTTTGTTCGACGCATTGAATGTCGGGACACTGAATATACATAATATATTGTTGCGTCTGTACCTACGTACGTTGAAAAACGCATGGGATCGTTGTGGAGATAATTTGGCGCTGTCGCGTTTTTTAATTGAAATATTACAATGTATGAAAAATATTCAGTTGTTAACACTGATCGACGAGTGAAAACTTTTTTTAACAACTGACAATATTAGTTGGTTTTATATACCTAATTTCAATAAAATCATATCATCATATTCATTTAAAAAGTGAACATATTTTAAAACCTTACAAGTAATTTGGTTGGATCCCAAATACCTTGGTTCCGTATTTTCATTTCAGACACTTTCAGGAAAAGGTTTTGTAGTTCTGATCTTTGGCATTGCCCAAAAATTCTTTCGTCAGGTTTACAAAACAATTCCAAACCACTGATTCTTTTTTATTAAGTTTTTCTGTAAAGAGAGCTTGGTTACAGTTTTCCAATAATTCTTTCAGTTTTGCGTCACTTTTGACCGTTTTGAATCTTGAAACCACAACTTTCTTCGTCCATAACTTTTTAATCTAAATTTAATGTGAAGGGAAAAAGTTTCTTGGACTGTCTCCAAACATAAAAAAACACGATTTTTTAAGGATTCGGCCTGGTGACGCAACAGCCCTGGTTGCAATGCGGCACCCTCCGGGACAACGTCCTCTTCGGCCGACCCTACGACGACAGCAAGTACAGATCCGTGCTGTTCGCCTGCGGCTTGGCCGAAGACATCCAACAGCTGCCAGCCGGGGACATGACGGTGGTGGGGGAGAGCGGCTCGACGCTTTCCGGTGGTCAAAAGGCGAGGGTGGCGCTAGCGCGCGCCGTCTACCAGGACAAGTCCGTCTATCTCCTGGACGACATCCTCTCAGCGGTGGACGCGAAGGTGGCCAAGCATATCTTCCAGCACTGCCTCATGGGGTTGTTGCTGAATAAGACCAGGATTCTGTGCACCCACCACGTGCAGTACCTGATATATGCCGACGCCATAGCGCTAGTAGAGGATGGATCGATTAAGAAGATTGGTAAGTTTATATTTATTTGTATTACAGCGATGTCATTGATGAAAAGAATAAGAAAACTTGGACCAAGTAGCGAACCCTGGGGCAAGCCTAATACTGCATTGATATCAGATTTGTAGTCACTGTACTGTACAAATTGAACGCGATATGATTTCAATTTATCATATACTTTGGAGAAATATGTCTAGACCATATCCACATAGATCTTTTTTCTACTATTTATAGAACATTTTCAATATAAATTCTGTGGTGCATTGTATAAGGAGACGAATTCCTAATACTTTGCTAATGCATGTCTTCGCAGGAAAGCCGGCCGACGTCCTCTACCAGATCGACGACACGTTACCCGTCGACTTAGAGCTAGGCGAGAGCATCCACTCCACGTCGACTTCCGCCTCAAATTCCCTGCTCGAGAGCATCAAACAGGACAATTCCCTCGGCGCCAAAGAGGACGCCTTATTCCAAGAAACCAGCGAGATGGGCGGGGTAGAGTTCAGCGTGTACTCCTCTTACTGGAAGGCCATAGGACACATACTGAGCTTGACGATCCTGTGTTCCATAATTTTCATGCAGATATCCAGGAATATGACGGACTGGTGGCTGGCGCACTGGGTCACCAACCAGGAGAGTCCGAACTCGACAAACTTCTCCGTCGACGTGGATATTGCATTTTTTATGGTTGGCGGTCTCGGATCGGACGACGGCGACGTGTATTCTTATTTGAAGGTGTACGTGGAGTTCGCCGCAGTGAATACTCTGTTTACTTTGGTCAGGGCGTTCCTGTTCGCCTATGGAGGAGTGAAAGCCGCCACGAAGGTTCATAAGTCGTTGCTGAAGTCCGTAATAAAGGTAAGAATCAATAAAAATATTTTAAAAAATACCTACCCTACTTCAACTACCCCTAAAATACGTTCACTAAATTACAGTGATATCGTATCTTGAAAAATTTAAACAGAAATATGTTTTTTAAGGCCTGCAACTTTTTAAGGAAATAAAATTGGAATTTTCTTTAAATTACACAATCTGACAAAATGTGACTGACCTAAACCAAAAACCAGACTGCTATCCCGAGATCCCTTCCTCAAAATTACCTCCATCACATCAGGTTTTCCACTATATTTGAGGTTATGATACACCACGAGGAAATTTTTCTCCACCAAAACTTGTTATGGCATCCGAAAGCACCATTCTTCATCAAAATCCATTTTTTAACCAAAGTTTTCAACAATAACATTGACCATTTTTTGCCATATTCATAACCAGCTTGTTTTAGGCAAAATCCGCGTTTTTCGACATCACCCCCACGGGCAGGATCCTGAACAGATTCTCCAGCGACACCTACACGGTCGACGACTGTCTGCCCTTCATCCTAAACGTACTCCTGGCCCAGTTCTTCGGCCTAATCGGTAAGAAATCCGCCAAACTAACGACGCGATCTCACTTAAGACTGTGTCGACGTTGCAGGAAGCCTGGTGATCACGATATACGGCTTGCCCTGGATCTGCATGATCCTGATACCGCTCGTACCGGTGTATCACTGGCTCCAGAACCACTACAGGTTGACTTCGAGGGAACTCAAGAGGATATCGAGCGTGACGCTGTCTCCCGTCTACAGTCATTTCAACGAGACGCTGCAAGGTGAGATTAGGCTTAATCCTGTGCGCGATAGTCGGCGAAAAATCGGTTGCCGGGCAACCGGATACTTGTACCAGATTACTGCCGTGAAATTGGAGGCATTTGAGTTGTTGCGGCAGGAATTGCAACGTACAGCGTTTCCGGTTAAAAATATACATTAGTTTTTAGAAATAGTGAGCAAGAAACGCTTTTTTCTTACAGGAACTCAATGCAAGTTGTCCAACATCTGATGCTACAGTTACACAGAGCGCTATGCTAGCTATGTTCGCATACAAGTTAAAAGGAAGCTAATATTGCGATCACACGGCACTATATTAGCGCCCATTTAACTCCCTGTTTTTTAACCTTTGGTCTTTTGAGGAATTTAGAAACGTTTGTAGATTTGTGAAACTTTTTTACATATTTAGCGGTTTTTGGAGTATTTAAGAATTTTTAGAAGGTTCCGACATATTTCTAATGCTATTTTGATATGTTTTGTTGTTTTTAGATGTATTTTGAATGTAATTCGATCTATTTTACTGTATTTCATAGCGAATTGAGGAGTTGATACATCATGAAATTATTATTACGCATTATAAGACTAACACAATAACATAACTGTCACAATGAATATAGCTAACATTACGAACATAGCTATCATAGCGAACATAGCTACCACAACGAACATAGTTAACAACATAGCAGTATAGCTATCACAATGAATATAGCTATAACAACGAACATAGCTATCATCGCGAACATATCTATCACAGCGAACATAGCTAACAACAAGCAGCATAGCTATCACAATGAATGTAGCTAACATGACGAACATAGCTATCTCAATGAACATAGCTACCACAGCGAACATAGCTAATGCAGCGCTTAGCGTAGCTATTTTTAATATGGCCACGAAAGAAAATAACCGTTTGCTCCACTAGGAACTTGCTAGCTACTTATCTTCTTATAGGACTGACGACTATCCGAGCCATGAGGGCTTCCCAGAGGTTCAAGCGGGACAACGAGGATAACGTGGACGCGAACATAAAGGCCCAGTTCGCCAGTCAAGCTGCTGCGCGGTGGCTGGGGTTGCGGTTGCAGTTTATTGGCGTGGCTGTGGTTGCAGGTGTTAGCTTCATCGCTGTGATCCAGCATCAGTACGACGTCGCCGATCCAGGTACCACACCCTCTGTATTTATTTGTTTAATTTGTTTATTTAAAAATTATATGACTTGACAGACGACAAAAAAATACAGGAACATGATTGTGTTAAAAAATCGATGTTTTGGGAGCGGATACAGCTTCCACAAGACAATGTTTTCTCTTCTCATTTCATTTACCGAACTTTTTTGTCGTACAAGGCAAACTGTACTCCAGGACGAATGTTTTCCTTGCGAGTTATCCTTCGGACGAGATGGATGTTCGGTTGCGAATTTAAATTCGATATTTCCTCTTTTATATTTTCATTTCGAAATTAGCTCGTTAACGAGATACAACTACACCGGTGAAAGGTAAGCCGAGCTTTGCCGAAAAGCCGACGTCATGCTGTTCATCCTTGGAAAAATTTCGTTGGTCGTCGATAATATTGCTTTGTGATGTTCCATTATTAATTAGAGTAATCCCATTAATTCTGTGTACTTTCAACTGGGAGGATTAGAGAGGCGGATTTTAAATATAATAAAATGAAAAGGAGAACGGGGATTTCGCTGTCGGCAACGGTTGCTTTGTACATCCTTGTTATTTTAAATTATTAATATTTTTCTAACGTATGACAGACTGAAAAAATATTTTATTAGTCCAGACAAAACAGTGGTGAAAAAACATTAAACAGTTAAAGGACCTTTACATCAAACTGTATACGCTTTCAAGGAATGTTTATATACGCTCTTCAGGATTAAAGCCAGTCGCGTTGGCCAATAGCGTCGCGTCGTTTGGACGACCTCGCAATAAAATCGAGTTTAATATAAATGCCGGACATCGGGGTCACTCACAGCGATAAAATAATCGTTACGTGTACATCGGGTCTTAAGAATTTTTTTATTAATCCCATCTCGGGCCGTAAATATCGTTTTATTCTTCTTCATAAGCTAATTGGCGTTTAAATAATGCCTTAATTAAAAGCTGAATCTACTGGAAACCGATGAAGTTTCCTCTAATGAACCGACTCCGGCTAGTTTACGCAACCCTTCCGCAAATGTTGATCTTACATTTGCGTAGACTGGTGGCTAATTCTTTGCGAAAATAAACCGGGAATAGTATCTCAGACAACAGAGTTATTCTATGGAAATTTTATATGAATTTTGTATAAAATGCAACTTATCTGAATACGCAGATTATAAAAATAGGTGTTTGCAATTGTGCTGTGCATATATGACTTGAAATGAACATTGAAAGGATCCAGTGAATGAAAAATGGTAATGAATATTCATAGACAAGACTTACAATTTGAACAAATCTAGGCACATTTTCGTTGTCAAAGATTTTTTGCTATTTCTTTGAATGTAATGGCTTGTTCTTGACTCATTGTATTAGACCAGTGCGGATCTGTCGAAATATCCCACTCCTTGGATGTAAGAGGGGGCAAGCTAATTTTTCTGGATTACCTTCAGTACAACTCACATAATAAAATTGCAAAAATGTTTAAAAAATGAAAAAAAATACCTATTTTATCTGAGTTTTTTACTTATATCTTGGAACCTATTCACTTTTGAAGAATATTGAAGAAGAAAAAAGTTTCAGAATAGAATTTTGCTTAAAAGTTTTTAAATTTATTACCGATGTTGCAAATTAGCAATAATTGATGAAAACAAGGCAAAATAAGCAAGTTTTTTGGATAATTTTTTTAAATATTTTAATTGCTCCGAGGGCATTCTAATTTTGGTAAAAAAAACTTTAGAGTATAATAAAACAACACATCAAATTTCATTAAAATTGGTTGAATAGTTTCCGCAAAATAATTTTTTTTTAATTTTTGAAAAAAAATGTTCGATTTTCAAAATAGATATAACCACACATTTTCTTCTGACTATGAAGTTCTTTATCTTTGCTCTTGTATCCATCCCGCTGACTCCGCTCTCCTTCACAGGGTTGATCGGCCTGGCGATATCCTACGCCCTTTCGGTGACTGGCGCCTTGAGTGGAGTTGTGAATGCCTTCACCGAAACCGAGAGGGAAATGATAGCTGTCGAACGTGTCAATCAGTACATCAGGGAGATTCCGACAGAGAGCGCCGACTTCGTGATCGATCCTCCATTCGCCTGGCCCAGTCAGGGAGTCGTCTTTTTCAACGACGTCGTCCTGAGCTACAGGTGAGGATTGAACTTAATTGTGGTGGTGTAAAATAAATAATCTCATTCCTTAGAGAACACCTCACGCCTTCCCTTAAAGGAGTGTCGTTCGAGACGAGGCCGTGCGAGAAGATTGGAGTTGTCGGACGGACCGGAGCGGGGAAGAGTTCTTTGATATCGGCCCTCTTCAGATTGGTAGAGGTTGCCTCTGGGTCGATATGTATAGATTCTGTGGACATCCGACGCATATCCTTAGCGTCTTTGAGGTGAGAAACAAGTGCAATGCACCTCAGACTATTGCTAGTGCGTCTCTTTTTAGGTCTAGGATGTTTTGCATCCCTCAGGATCCCTTCCTCTTCGACGGTACCATCAGGGAGAACTTGGATCCGTTGGGTGAATTCCGTGAAGACGAAATATGGACGGCGTTGAATAAGGTGAACCTCGTGGGAACTATCCAGGCTTTGGGAGGACTGGAGAATAAGGTGGATGGAAGCGGTGCCAATTTTTCTGTTGGGCAGAAGCAGCTGATTTGTCTGGCTAGAGCTGTTCTACATAACGCCAAAGTAAGTAAAATCGGGCCAATTTGAAGTCAAAATTTTGACTTTTAATTTCTCCTTCTGAGGGGTTTGTTGTCCACTTATCCAAGAGTAAGACATGGGAGTATTCCGTGTCCCACTCTCCATTTTTCATTTCAGGTACTCTGCATAGACGAGGCCACAGCCAACGTGGACCACGAGACAGACAGACTTATCCAACAAACGTTGCGCTCGGCCTTCAGGAAGAGCACCGTCGTAACGATAGCGCACCGCGTGCAAACCATCTTCGATTCTGACCGCGTGCTGGTGATGAGCGACGGTAGAGTCGTGGAATTTGACAGCCCGGAGAACCTTCTCGCCGATGCCAATTCCCACTTTTCACAGTTAGTGAGTCACGAGTGAGATGTGTGTCTGTGTGTGGTCCCGGATTTTTTTCAGTTGGACTGATATCGGGTGCGCGAGTGTTCTGAAAGATAGTTCTCCTAGAATGGCTCAAATTTAATAGTCTCTCTTGAGCAATTAATGACTTGCTGATACCTCTAGTTGAATTTACCAATTCGCCATAAGAGAAAAAATATATTTAATTCTCTTTAGTTACTAGACAGATACACCTAAATTACAAATAATTATCATTTTACTGTGAAACGTTAAAGTTTTTAATACGTGTTGAGATTATAGAAGTATTTTTCTCCTAAAAAGTCAAAATTGCTTTAAAAAGTCAGTATTAGAGTGAGGAATGTTAATTGTAAAGTAGATACAGAAATATTTAGGAAGAAAACATTTATTTATATTTCAGCATCAGTGACGTAGAGTAGCGAAGGTATAAAGGGATATCGAGTGAGAAAAAAACATTTTATACGATTTAAAAAATAATAACTTCAATCAAGCAAGCTTAACATTTATAATTTTTGTATTTTATTGTGTCAAATGTTTTTAAAAAGAAAATACGATTTGTATCTATGATGAAATAAAATATTTTACAAATGCGATGTTTATTCTCTTAAATTTTTTTATAAGTGAAAAAAATTACAACCATAAAAAATACGTTCTGCTCTAAGGTCCGAAAGTAAATCGTACATTCCAGGGTCGTACTTTATTTTTCATGACGTGGTGGAAAGAAGAAGACATATTTGTTAAAAAAATTTTTTGAACACGACAAAACACGTAAGTAAAGAAACCGAACATTTTCATTGATAATAATTAAAAAATGAAGATTAAAGCAACAGTTCTGATTATCGTTAATGGCCGTATCTGGCGTTTTATCTCATCCAATAAGACTTTTTAGTCCAATTAAATGGGCCTTTACATCGCAAATTAGTCAACTTGCCTGAATTTTTAATATAAGTTAGTTTGAGGTAGGTATATAATAACAATAAGTGACAAATTTTTTTTCAACCCCTGGCCAGGGGTGAAAAAAGATGAAAGAAAGGGGTTTTCAAAAGGTGTAAGAGCTAGAAAAAAAAGTTTCTTATAATAAAGCATAAAATTCTACATTAAAAATGGTCTATTGACTTTTTCTTGTACCATGTTAGGGAGGCTAGAAGTTATGGAATGCTTTCAGAAAAAAAATAATAAGCAGAAAAATGAATGAATTTTATATATATTTTTTTTCAATCTACTATAAAAAATGTAAACTTGCTGTTCAGAGGAATAGACATATTTTTTAATTTTTAATAAAAAAGTTATTACAATTTCAATTTTTTAATCGTTAATTTTTATGATTTAACACTAAAACTATTTTTTTCTATGCCATTCGATCAATTATTTAAAATAATAAAAAGTTGCTTTAGAAACTTTGTTTTATGACAAAGATAAAAAATCAAGTTCGCTTTGTGAAGTTGTTATAACTTTTGCAAGTTGACCAAAATTGCGATTTAAAGGCTTATTTAATTGGACTATTTGTGTGCAGTTAGTTCTTGGACTAACAGTAAGCCAATGTGGCCTTTAGTACTAGTTTTGACTGTAATACAAAAATAATCTAAATTTGATGTTGTTTTACTTAATTTAAATAAATATTAAGGTAGATGGGCATATTTGTCACATATAACTTGAATAAGAGCTTTTTACTTAGTAAACAGAAAGAAATTATTAGAAAGAAGAATATCTATCCTATCACAGAAACAATAACAATTTTCTTTACAGTGTTGCAGAATTGCTAAGGCAAAATTACGAAATATTTATATTTTACTACAATTGAAATTTGTCGCAAAAGTGCGTATATTAAAACAAATAAACTTCAATTATTTTAAAAATATGCTTGACGCATGATGAGTGGCAATGCAGAATGTGAAATATTTCAGGATTTAATCGTGAAACTTTATCAGGTAATTGAACACATGATTTTAAGCAAAAACTTTCATAAGAACGTAGAATGCTTCATTTTCGAGCCTACAGGGTGATGAAAATTAAAAAAAATATCACATTATTACAAATATCTCCGTGGTTATAGTTTTCCGAAAAAAAATTCGAAATATTTTAAATATGCTTTTATCTTTTCTGTAAACTGTAGACTGATGTTCCCTCAAATTGAATCGAAAATGAAATTTTTACTCCTAAACTCCTGTTAATTTTCTTTAATTCTATCAATAACAAGTGGTCACTACCGTAATCAGGTGAGATATTTATTACCTTTTTTATTTTGTATATTCTCCTCTCCCCTATGGAATTGCGTGTTAACGCCGCCTATGACTAAAACCATAACTAAAAAGCGCCTGCCGTAAGTCCGGTGTGTATCAACCAACAACCTTTATTAAATTCAAAATTTTAATCTGGAACAACGCGTGCCAGAGCAATATTGACGATTTTTCTTTTACGATTTGTCCCACAGTTACAACATATCTACCTCTACGAATGACCGTTTGACTCTGGAGATTTAGAATAACGGGAATATTCACCTCTAGGTACCTCCAACAAAGTTAAATAAAACGAAATCCGATACCACTGTAATTGAATTTTAATTGAGATTTGTTTGCTCCATCGATACCTCCAGGTATCATAAATGTGCAAAGAGCGACGATGTGCAAAGCAATATGCGAATTCCACATATTTGTTAAAAAATAATATCACAGTACATTATTCAATACCGTATTGATGTTGAAATCTGAAAAGCGATAGAAATTTACAGTATTGATTACTGTGTCTCGTAGTTCCACTATTACATGATACATCTCGAAATTTCATACGATAAAACTTTGAAAAGCACGTACTAATATGTTTTTTTAGCCTTACTATTTAAGATAAATATTTATTTTCATTCTTAATTTTTTTTTGGAAAAAAGTACTAGGTATATGTTTTACACATGAAAGTGTACCACTCTTAAAACGCACAAATTTTCGGAGGTATACATTACAATGGAAATGGGCAGGTAGCCCTAAAACTAACTTAGTACTGAGAAAGGCGTAACCCGACGCTGGAAATCCATTGTAAACCTGAAAACTTTCATGTGCTCATGAAATAATTAGTGTCATGTTATACGCCGGTTCTTCTAGATTAACTTGTACTACAACTGCTCGATTCCACCAAATTAATCACCCCATCTCCGACTTGATAAATCTACCGGTCTATTTTTAGGTCCGGCCCAAGCGAGCACCGTTACCGGTACACGGAAAAATGTTTATTTACGCGTATGCAACCGAGGTTCATTCAGAATAGACGTCGGGAAATTAGAGTGGTGATATAGATCATTTATAATTCGTCAATTGAATAATCTTAAACAAGTTTTAAAATTATATTCTCGTTTTTTTTAAGGAGCTTTCTTGAAAATTAGAATCATATTTTGCTAAGATTTACAAAATAAAATGATATTTTCTTTTTTCAAAGGTTTAAAAAATATGTTTTTAATTTTTTTATTAGCGTTTTGTATCTTCCAGTTGCGGAGATGCTTTTACATTCCCGAAGGGCTTTTTACTTGCTGGCACTCACAACGAAACCTATTTCTCAACCAAAACTCAAAAATAACTATTAGTAATATTTTAAATTCAATTCATCGAACTTATATTTGAAGATGCTCTCTAAAATAATTTCACAAATATAAACACAAGCACTTTTCTGAGTGTATACGAGTTATTTTGGGTTGCAAGTAAACAAACGTACCTACTGCAATCGACGGTGTACTTTATATAAAACATTTTAGAATCTCCACGACAAGAGAAAAAACAGAACGTGTTTGTGTGACGCGTGGCAGTGCCTTTTTATTTATACACCACTGTTTAATATTTTTCGGGGATTTTGGGGATATGGGATGTTAACAAGACGAGTTTTATTTTCAAGCAGTCTTCAGAGGAATTCGTTAGATGTGGAAGTGAGAAAATAAAGAATTACGGAGACTAATGGTTATGATGATTTTCACGTTGAATGCAACAGGGATGTAAATTAAAAACTATGTCGAAATGTTTTGATTGATAGTGCTCGCTTGCAAGCGATTCTTTCATATGGTCGACAAATACACCTGTGGTTTCATTATGGGAGTTAAAGCGGATACTGTCGGCAGCTCAATAGGATTATAGTTGATTGATTATAAAAATAAGAGGAAATTGTCTCTCATAATCCAATTATAATAGTGCAGTAATTGAATTAACGGTATCTGAACAGACACAGGTATGTTTTGGTAGATCCTGTCGGAGTACAATGATAAAATATAGTAGGCAGCTTGAAAATAAATCTACTAATTGGAAAAAAATATTACCGCAATGTTTTTTAGATGTTAACATTAATCAAGAGATTTCTATACATATCTGACAAATGTGTGAAGTATTTCATTAAATTTGTTTGATTCACTTACATTAGATTACTTGTTACTGTGGATTTTGGCTTAGATTACAGTTTGATGAAAGCATTAGTGGCATTCTCCTTGATAATTCTATTCAAAAACCGATCGATAAACTAATTAAAAAAAGCAAACGTTTGTGAAACGCAGGGACAAAACCTCGAAGTGAAATATTTCGAGCCTCCCCTCCGATCCAACGGACTGCTAAGTATATGGACATCCTTTTCTACTATAATGGAAGTTTTCGAGTGGTTAGCAAGGGGATATTTTGCATACTGCAACCACTTATAAAGCTATTGTGCCGGTTTTGAATAAGTTTCAAGTCGGCTAAGAACGGCGTATGAATATCCTGCCGTGCCGCTCTCCACAACACTTCAACGGGTCTCTGAAAATTTTAATTCGCGCTAGCTAGTAATCAGTGAACTACTTTAAAGTTGCTGGGTATCTCCGACAGGGAAAAAAATCCTGTTTGCGAAGTTGTTGGTTTGTTCGTTATAAACGTATGTACTCGGGACGTAATTGTTCTGTATTGTTTACGCTGGCCCCGCATAATTTCACAGAATTACGTGAAATTGTTTGCTTGAAATAATAGAGAAAAGAAAGTTATCTTCGCCACGAGAAAGGGCTCAAGAGAGCGTGGTTATTGTCTTCGCTTATTGTTTATTTATGTTGTTGTTTATCTTTTCCGCCTCTGAATATAAAGAAGGTTTTTATAAAAAAGATTCAAAGGATAATTCACTAAGAGGAACATTTGATTACGTTTCACGTCTTTTAAAGGAACAAAAAAAATTCGTAGCCTCATGTTATTTTTCCAGCTAACACTCTGTACATGTCGCTACTAATTATATCTTTACTGAGTCCTCATAAGTTAAAAAAACAAACACGAATCGAGATAAAACTGTTTTCATAAAGGACACTATTCATCCGGTGAATCCGTGAATGGCAGGGCCGTTCTTTCTTCTATTTGAATTAATCCAGATGGGCCGTTTTGTTGGAGTTAAACAGATCAAGAGGCGAGTTGAACGAGATAAGAGGCATTTTCACTTTAAACGTCTCCAGTGGACTACTAGTTATTTATATAAAGGCAATTTAATATAAATAGTTTTAGCTTAGGTCCTGGCATGCGTTTAGTGAAAGTTCATATAGG